ACGCCCTACGCGCAAGTGGCTGACCTGGCGGTGAACACGGCAGCCTCCGGCAACAACGCAGCAGCCATCCAGTCACTGGACGACCGGGTCACTGCAGAGCTGGCCTCGAAGCTGGACAGCAGCGCGCTGGCGCCGGCAATTGCGCCTCTGGCCACGGCAGCGGCCCTGGCCACCACGGACGGGCAGGTGGCCGCGCACGGAAGCAGCATCGCCGCGCTGCAGAGCTCGCTGACCACGGGTCTCTCCAACAAGGCCGACCAATCGGCCTTCGACGTGCTGGAGGGCGTGGTGGCCACGAAGAGGGCCTGAACCCAGACTTCGGGACATCGAGGCAGCATAAAAAACTATTCTCCCAGCCCCTCTATGCACAGATGGACTGGGAGAATAGATTTCTTCGCCGTAGTGAAAATGCGTTTAGAAAAGAAGCATGGAGGTAGTCACAGCCGGAGCACAGGATGAGTTGATGCAGAGCCTGGACTACAAGCTGAAAACCAGCAACACCAACTACGTGACCGCGCGGCACGACGTGCAGTATTTCCCCAGCTCGCTGAGCTCCTTCTCCCCCGCCACCTCGAGGGTCTGCCGCATTCCGCTGACCAGCGGTACCTTGTTCATTGACCCCGGGTCGATCAAGATTGCCTTCAGAGTCAGAAACACGGACGCCACCAACCCGCTGGCGCCGGCCACTCCGAGCCCGCCTGTTTCATCCAGAGGATCCAGATCTTCGCCAACGGCCAGCGCTGCGACGACATTAACTACTTATGGCCGCACCGTGGCCGTGCGCGACCTGCTGAAGGGCCGCGAGTACAACCAGAACAAGGCCGTGGAGGGCTTCGACGAGGTGAACAACTCCCGGACGCCCCGCGCGGTGCACCAGAGCGGCGACGCGGACGTGCTGCTGCGCCCCACCGTGGTGGGCATCCTGCACTGTGGGAAGATGCTGCCGCCGCAGCTGAACCTGGTGATCGAGATCGAATTCGCGGACGCCACGACTGCGCTGTGGTCCGAGAACGCCGGGGCGCACCCGGCGGGAGCCACGCTGAGCACCGACTTCGAGATCCAGAACGTCCGAGTCCTGGCCTCCCAGGTCGTCTTGGACTTGGCGCTGGTCAAGTCCTTCAACCGCGTGCTCCTCTCAGGAAGGTCCCTGGTGTTCAGCTACCCCACGGTGCACACACAGCAGTCCACGGTGCCGCCGGGCGTGGCGGAGCACAACGTCACCGTTGCGCGCGCCTTCACGAAACTGATGGGAGCGCTCGTGACCTTCTGGGACAACGACGCGGGCTCTAAGATCCACTTGCTGGCCAACCGGGGCAGGACGTGGCCCCCATCGGCGCGGCCAGGCAGGAAGACAGCCTCCTGGAGTCGCAGATGCAGCTGGGCAGCCTGCAGTACCCAGCAGTACCCACACAACCCCATGAAGGGAGCCTCGGAGCACTTCCACTTCCTCTCGGTCCTTGCGGGGACCTACGACGACGCGGTGCGCAACATCGACATCGACCGCGCGGGCACCTGCGCCACAGCTTCAGCGCTTCCCGACCGAGCGTGTGCCCAAGATGCCCCTGAGCGGCGTCAGCGCCCGTTCGGGCGACCTGGCTCGGTTCACTTTCAAGGCGCTCGACGGCACGATGACGGACGTGTTCATCCACACCCACCCACCCACCCACCCACCCACCCACCCGCCCACCCACCCGCCCACCCACCCACCCACCCACCACCCACCCACCCCACCCCCAACCCAAGGAACAAGGGTCCCACAGACCACCCACCCACCACCCCCCACCCCCCACCACCAACCCCGTCCCCCACCCACCAGCACCACCACGGATCCAGCCACCCCCCGCCAGGCCGAAAACCCGGCAGGTGGTTCCAAGCTTTCGGACGTCCCAATTTGAGTGGAACAAGGGTCGCACAGAATCGGTTTTTTACCAGGCCCCTCTGCTTCATACGAGGCAAGCCAGTGTCCCAGTGTGGATCCAGCAGCGTGAGGGGGGAGGCGCGGTGCGGAGGTCACGATGGCCAACACGGTTCGTCTGGATCTGAGGGTGGACAGCCGTCAGAGCCTGACCATGGGCAGATGACTCTCTTTCTTTAGAGAGGATTCTCCAAACGGGCTGCTAAAGTGCTGCACAGAGCCCCGTGCCTGCGCTATACCGACCCCTCGATATGCGGTGGCAATTTGCCCCGTAGCTGCGTTTCTGCAAGGCAGGCTTGCCCTCAAAGAAAAACCCTATTTTTGGAACACTTTTTTTCCCGGAGCCTTTTTTTCCCAGGTTTTTTGCCTGCCTTGCAGAAACGCAGCTACGGGGCAAATTGCCACCGCATATCACTTTAGCTTTGTTTCCTGGACGGACGAGTGTCAGAAGCCCCTCAGCAAGCTTTTTGAGGGACATGCTCTGAGGGTTTGACCCCTCTTTGTTTTCGCCCACCCACCCACCCTGTCATTTCCAATGGGAACCTCAGACGCCCAGGCCTGCAGCCTTGCTTTGCCTCTGGTTTCGCACCGCCATGGTAGCACATGCGTTCTTGTCTAGGTTTGCTTTCATCTGGCCCGCTACTGAGACCCACAGAATACGCGTTATTCTGACCGCTGCAGAATACGCGTTACTCTGGTTTTCCACACGAGATGCACGCATTGAATCAGCAGAGGACGCATTCCTTTGTGCCACACACAGGATGCACGCATTGCTTCTTGTTGTGATCAGCGTGCTTCCTGTTTGTCTCACACCTCATAGGTAAAACACCTTGTGTGAAGGTCGAACACGCATTGTCAACCTTGGGGGCATCTGTGCAGGCTCCGCATGGGCTAGGGAGTGGACACGCGTTGTCACTCCTCCTGCACCCCTGAGCCTGTACTTCTGAGCAACACCTGTAAAAAAGGAGCTGAGCGTTTGGGTCGGTCGGGCTTCCTTTTTCATGGCATGTTCCTTCTGGGCTTGAAGCAGCGAACAGGATTCTATCACAGCAGGCCGTGCCTTCGCGGCGGAGTGCCTTGTTGCAGGCATCTGACAACCATGGCATGTTAGTGAAAACTGTCAACCCATCTGGGTTCACTCCAATCTTGGAATAATCACGCCCAGAACCTCAGACACTTATTCACCCTTGCCTTTAAGCGCCTTTCCTAATTACACAGCTCTCCTTACAGTTGTCTTTCGGGTGGACTCAGATCTGAACAAGGACAAGGTCAAAGGAAACCACCTGTCCTGTTTGATCACCAAAGCTGGTTTTAGTTAGCTGAAGTTTTTTCTTGCGTAAGGCTGGAATGCCGAAAGATTGGTTTTATCATTTATTTGAGGCAAACAGATTGCAAGAATCAATTCTTTAAACTCGAATCCCCCGGTCCACGCTCCCCCCTCAATCGTTGACTTGGACCAGGGCATCCTTAACCAGTCTTGTCAGGAAACCACCCTGCGAAAGCAACATGCAGCACGTAGGGGTGCTTTAAGGCGGCTTAAGACACCTCTCATTATTTTTTATTTTTCACGCCACCATGTCAGTTTGCACGTAGCCTCCTGAGGATCTTTACGGCGCCCCTCATGGTGCGCAAGCTACCTATGATCCGTGTCATACAACAGTTGCTAGCTTCCGTTCACGCCCTTCTCAATTTGGAGAGCAAAATAAAGGAGTGATCAGTGTCAATACAGAATTCATTCGATGATATGGGATATCGACTATGATTTGATGAATTCAATCGCGCCGTTTTTTGGCAGGCCCCTCTCCTTGTGGACTTGAACAATATGTTTGGAGTTGCCTGTTTGCTCAAGGTTCATTTGTGCTAGGTCACGTCCTAGGGCGCATTTTGCGTTGCAGTGATTGATTGGCATGCCATGCCGAACAGCGGCAAAACACTGAAGGCAAATGCTAGATGTGCGACAAGTGAATGTGATGACTATGGCATCTTGGTACGAGGCTAGATTGGGCATGCAGCGTGTGCACATCCAAAGTCGCCCAACACCTTTGATGGCGAAGAGCATGGGTCGGTCTTTTGCGACGACACCGACTTCGGGTTTATATGATAGAAACTGATCTTGGCGTCATAAGATCGAACGGGCACACAGCTGTTGCGGCAGCGGTATTTGGGTTTGTTTTATGTGAACTGTTCGGGTGATGCAAGCCATTTGGGTTCAAGCTGCAGGATGACAGCAATGTGGCAACTGTCAAACTTCTATTGCAACCTCGGTTGGCGAGTCTTGGTGTTGGCATTTGCTCCAGCTGTGCACTTGCAAAGCTCACACCGGCTGATTTTTGTTGTCATTTGCTCCAAACATGATGCTGACATTCTACAAGTTCTTGACTGAAGATGCCATGAACATGACAGTCTTGTTGAATGCATGAAGGAAGTCGTCGCCCCAGTGGCTGCTATTGTCCCGAACGCTGGCGTATGTTGTGCAGATGTATCGCATCGTTTTTCCCTGAGGTCCCAGGTAGAGAGCTGGTGGGCCGGCATTTGAGCGGGCCCAAGTACACAGTGTCAGTGTTCCCAGCTTGAAAAGTGTGGAACAGGCCGATTCATGGCCGTGGCACCTTTGTGGTGAAGGCGCGTGTCGTAGCTTGTGAGGGCTGCTTATGGCATGTGCTGCCAATGCGGATGGAGGCATTGCTGCTTCATGCAAGGGCCCAGAAGGCCTTGGGTGATGTGGTTTGCTGTGCCTGATCTTGATGTGGTGCAGGTCGACAAGCATTTGAAGCTGTGGCTTGCAGCCATCGTCAGTCTGGCCAGTTTGGTACACCATGGCAAGGCACATATGCTTGCTGTAAGACAGCTTGGATGACACCCAGGTGAGCTGCCTACTTGCGAGCCGACTGCCAACGTTGTGGAGAAGGCAGCACCTTAAGATAGGGCGGACCTGCATAGAAGCATGTGTCAAGTATGGGAATTATCAAGTCACCTTTCAAGATTGATAGCAGAGAGTGGGTCGGCATGGGCCTTTGATTGCACGGGTTATGATTCTTTTTTCCTGGGGAACATTGAGCCTTCCACACAACTCCCTGGCAGTTACATGTCTCCAGACAAGTCAGCCGAGCAAGTGTGTTGGCCTCAGACAATCCAACTGAGAGCAGTTGCGGAACTTCATTGCCTGCACCGCAGGCAAAGAAGAGCACGATTTACACATTTGCTGCAAAGTGCTGGTCGCTTTGCAGCAGGACTTGGGTTTCGTTGAATCGATCTTGTGTTGGCATGGCAACGAAGCGCATCACGAAGCCTATCATGACGCTCGTGGCTGCTGATTGGTGTCAGGACCTGAGATAGTTGTGTTGGTGCTTTCTTCTGGCTTGAATGCTTGGCTTATGCTGTACAAGGCCTGATCGACCCTTGCTGAAGATTTCGCATGTGCACTCACTGCAAGCCTCAGATTGGGAGGCATGGCTTATGCGCGAGTTTGTGGTGGGGCAGAACCTTGGGCGCTGGCGTGAGCTGGGAGACTTAGTTTTGCAGCGAGATCTTGCTGGTGCTCAGTAGGGAATGAGAGAACGAGCCCTATAAACCATCCCTCGCGGTTTCCTTTGAGGGTCATTCCCACATTCCCCTCTGAGCACCAGCAAGTCTTTGTAGCGAACACAATGAAAGCGGAACGACAAACCGCTGTCTCGGCAGGTGGCTGAAAGCGCTGGCCAAGTTCCCTTTGGCCATTATGGCTAGTGCGGTGCTGTCTCAGACCACAAAGTACATGCAGGCCAGTTGCTCCATGACTCAACGTCAGTGCCTGCTTCGTTATGGTCTGGATTGAAACTCTTTGCATCATGTTGGCCACAAGGTGCACTTAAAAGATTCCGCATGATGGATTGAATCTATACTATGCTTGTTTTAGGGTAATCGTAAGGTTCGCACGCCTCCAGGTCAGGGTTTCCATGTTGTGGCGGCGAGCTGCAACCAGAAGCCTTTTGCCGCTTGCACGCACTGTGAGTGAATCACTTCAATCTGTGCAAAGCACAACCTGAGGCGCAGCTATTTCTTCAATATGAGTGGCTCTTAGCTTCTTGTGTTTTGTCCATAGAAGTCGGCCGCTATGCATCAAGGAATTACTACAGATTGCAGCACCACAAAGCTGCTCGCATAGATGATCCAGATGTGCGCATTTGCGCAGACGTGAGGCACCAGACGCAACAAATAACAGTGTGTCCTCATCATGAATCTACTGATATGAAGCGCAGGTCTGCTTGCGATGCACTGACTGGTGTGCTCATCAACGGCTTGTCCGGAGTGGCATGCCCGAACTGGACATACCCGATTTCTTACTGCAGTAGAGTGATGGAAGAATGAGACTGCAAATCAAGACACGTGACCTTTGAGCTGAGGTCATGATGTCATCTTTCTCGAGCTTCGCCTTGTCTGGGTCTTGCGCGATGGTTTGAGAAGGCGTCGGAGCCATTTTGCTTTTGATTCCCAGGTATCAGCGACGTGGGCTTTCCGCCGTGTTCCTGTTGGTGCCTCATTTGGGGTCATTTTGCTTGGGCGAGAGATCGCGGCCGTTGACCAAGGCCGTACTTCTACAGCTTCGTGATTGTACCGCTGAGCTATAGGCCTGGCAGTTTCGCTCAAAAGCAGTTCATCCTGGGAGGGAGTTGGGATTGCGGAAACGCAGTGGGAAAGGGGCATGCAGGCTTACAAGCCCAGATTGGAGTGCGGCAAGACTTGTCCAGAAGGCCGGGCAGGTCCCATGATGAGACTTGGCAAAGAAACATTCGCACAAGTTTTGCGCTGGAGCAGTCCAGGCCAATGGAGCCTACCAGCAGGCCTTGCAAGCAATTGAGCATTGTAAAGGTCACGTGAATGCTTCTCTCAGGCCTTGAATCGCGTCCAGCTCGCAGGGGAAAGCTTGGGCCTTGTCCATGTGATTTGCATCACTTGGGTTATATAAATATAGCCTTCTGCAGTGTTTGTGGCTCAGCGAGCGCTGCGTGTCAGCCTATGCACTGATCGCTGGGAGCTGAGAGTCAGAGCGGTTCTATTGGAGTCTGCCTGGCGCACATTGACCAATTTCCTCATTTGCGAGGGCTTTCCCTGCGTTCAGGAGAGAGCTATGACCGATACCACTGACCGGCAGGCAGCCATCCAGGCCGTGCTGATTGACGGGTGTTCAGTTTCCGCATCCGTTTCTTCTGAGTGATGCGTGAGCTTGACAGCATGAATGAGAGACACGTTGAAGGTCACGGTGTGTCACGGTGTGTCCAGCCAGGCAGTATTCACTCGCTTTGATGCAGACAAGAGTGGCAACATCGATGCCTCGGAGCTGGGGCCACTTGGCACTTCGCATGTCCTGTCCGATGCTTTGCAAGAACTGCAAGGACCTGTATGCGACTCTTGGGCATGAACCCCACTGAGAAGGAGGCAGTGGAAGACTATCCCGCGGCTTTTGTTGGCTTTGCACAACTTGGTGTAGTTGCTTTTTGGTGAGCCTTTTCGCCTCGATCTTGTGTTCTTTTGTCGACCGAGTATGGCTCCTTTGCCAAAGCGGCTCATGGTTTCTCACAGCCCCGCCTTCTGTTTGGCCTGGCAACATTTTCGACCACATAATTTTCTTGACGCTAGATGCATAAAACACTTCGCATTGTTGGCAGCTCGTATTGCAGCCCTGCCTTACAAAGCCTGTCGGAGGTACAAGCTGCCATCGAAAGTGTAGATGAGAACAAGAACGGAAAACTTGAGACCTGCTCTCAGATCAGGCAATGGAGGCACAACTATTTTTTGCCGCGGGAGCTTCTGCAACCTGCACACCGCGTGTCATCTTAGGTTTGAAGAATTCCGAACACTGATGGAGCCCAAGCTGTCAGCCTGGCTGGAGAATGACCAGGTGGCAATCCTCACAGATGCTTTCAAGGTGTTTGACAAAGAAGGCGCAACGGCGCGACATACGAATTTCGAGGTCCAATATTTTGTGTCCGTTTCTGCAGCGAACTTGGACAGGCAGTGGCAAGATCAGCAAGGAAACCCTTGGTATGCTGATGACATCGCAGGCAAGATGTCATGTCAATGAGATCCTGGTCATTTCAAGTCTTGAAAGATGTGGCTGCGCGGATGGACATGCAAGGGCAGCAACATTTTTAATATTGATTAAATGGGACTTTGGGAAAGCCTCGGAGACCTGCATCCTGGAGCTTGGAGAGCTGGGGGTTGGATTCAAGCGCACTGGAATCACGCGACTTGACAGGGGGACAAGCTGAGCCCAGTGGAGCTTGAAAACATGATGAAGGCCTTCGGGGCTGCTCAGCTGCTCAGTCTTTGGACAGCTCTGGGCGCCAGGCAGCTGACACGGACGGCGATGGCATGATCAACTACAAGGACCGTGGTCGAGTCTTGTGGCATAGTTTGGTGGCCGGCAGAAGTGCTGGAGGAGTTTGTTATGAATCACTTCTTCGGACCAGCAAGCGGAGTCGCCAAGCTGAATAGTTGTGGCGTGGCAAAGGCGTATTTGTCTGCTTTTCAGTCATCTTTTCGCCAAACCATACTTCAGCGTACTTTTCTTGCAGAAAGCACCCGCTGGTCTAATCTATTCTCCAGACATTACATTCTTCAGATCTTCGCTCTAGCTCACATGCAACTAGCTGCAACCGGCCTGGCCTTCGTGAATGGATGCATGCGAGCAATTGTCCGAAAGCAGCACAGCAACAAACAATGGGTTACTCTCATTGATTTCCACGCAGATGTCCAGCCAAATTGTAGCACATGGCTTCAGCTGCAAATATCTTCTTGCAAGAATTGGCATTCAGGTCGTCTTGCGTGCAGAAAACAAGCCCTTTGAAACTTTGCCAAACTTGTCTTTGCCGTTGGATCTCCTTGTTTGACTCCTGTGCCGAGGCTGCAAAGGGTGCCTGGGCTTCACTTCCAAGCTGGAGTTGCTGGGCTGCACCACTCACAAGGGCGCCCCAGTGGGACTCGGGATGCTGACAGGTGCAGTGTCCGGCGGCATCTCAAATGCCTACACCGCCGCGTCAGAGTCTGTGAACACAGCGGTGCCTCGATTGAGACATCCGGCTTGGCTTGATTTCTGGATTGCGAACTCAGGTAGCGAATGCGCCCAGTGCTGGTGAAGTGATGGACACGGTGAAGCATGCGGCAGAAGATGCCGCAGTTAAAGCGCAGGAGCTGGCGCCGAGCCTGATTTAGGATTGGTCAGCCTCAATGTCTTTCAAACACAATTCAGACCTGGCGTGCTTGTATATTGAGCCCATACAACTTGTTTGGCATCCTCGACGATATGCTGAGATTCATGCGCTGAGAGTGTATGTGTGTTTTTTCCTTTTTGTTTTTCCTTTTTTTTTTCTCCCCGATATTTGGGATTGGGCGCCGCTGATGCTAGAGCTAGGTTAGAAGAAGCACTGGTCTCGACTGTTTTGCATTGCTTCCGCCTCAGGCAGCAAATGCACCCACCTCTGCAGAGATTGTGGAAGGCGTGCAAACTGCAGCATCCAATGCGACAGCTGCGGCAGGACAAGCAGCAGCAGTCGCATCTGATGCAGCAACCAATGCTGCTACCGCAGCTCAAGAGGCCTTAACTTCTGAAAAACCAGCCGATGCGCCTGCGGAGCCCGCTGCAGAGGAGAACAGGGAGGAGGCGGCTCCTGCTGCGGAGACTGCAGAGGAGAAGAAGGAGGAGGCGCCTGCTCCTGCTGCGGAGCCTGCTGCAGGAACGAAGGAGGAGAGGCCTGCTGCTGCGGCGGAGCCCCCTGCAGAGGAGAAGGAGGAGGTGCCTGCTCCTGCTGCAGAGCCCGCAGCAGCGACGAAGGAGGAGACGCCTGCTCCTGCGGCGGAGTCCGCTGCAGAGGAGAAGAAGGAGGAGGCGCCTGCTCCTGCTGCGGAGCCTGTTGCAGCGACGAAGGAGGAGACGCCTGCTCCTGCGGCGGAGCCTGCAGAGGAGAAGAAGGAGGAGGCGCCTGCTCCTGCTGCAGAGCCTGCTGCAGCGACGAAGGAGGAGACGCCTGCTCCTGCGGCGGAGCCCGCTGCAGAGGAGAAGAAGGAGGAAACAAGCAGCGCTTGAGCGTTTAGATGATTCTTGGGCCTACTATCTGTCAGAGACAGTCAATGTACGTCGAAGCGATGTACCAACGCGCATGCTGAAATTGCCAAGAATTGGCGCACAGGCCTTACAGCAATGACTCAGCCCGCATACAACTACATCGTATCTCTGAAATTCTTGTGCGTTTTGCAGAGTGCTGGTTATTCAAGGTAGCCACCTGCTGCTAAGCCTGTGAATGAACTAAACACCAGTGCTGCATGCTTGCCTGTGCAAGCAATCGACTCTCCACAAGATCATTTTGTAGCATGTAGGAGACTTGCTTTGCTAGACCCTGCCTGCATGTTTGACACGCCTGCTGCGAAAGGGTGTTCGTGATCTGGCCGTCTCAAGGACGCCAGTCCGCTAATGTGCTGCACACGGTGCATGGGGCTGCTGGAGGGGCTTCATGCACTTGTGATGAGCTGCGCGGCTGTGATGGTTGCTCAGTCTATGTCGAAGGTGCAAGTTTGCTCGCAGATCCTGCTTTCTACATGACAGCCGACGTGGCAGCACCAGACTGCATTGATTTCAGTCGACCGTGGCAAAAAGGCTGCTGGTGCTTGTCTCTTTTGAAACAGAACACGAACTTTGACCCATGCAAGTTTGTGTCGTATCGTGCGGCAAGTGAAAATTGCAGGTGTGGCCATGCTCAAGGGCCAAGACTTTGAGAAGGACTGAGTAGACAGCCGATGATCAACACTTGACTTGTAGAATGAGTTCATTGATTCTCTCGAGCAGCATGAGTCATGTCTCGGATTGAGAATATTTTGTATGCTGTTAATGATTCAGAAGGACCTTCAATAACCTTGCAATGAACAGTTCCAGGATCATTCGGCTCTTGTGCAGTCTTCTTAAATGCTGCAAGCAGGACGTGCTAGACCATCATGCTACCAAGCGTGCAGAAGCTGAACAGTCCAGCTGGGTCGACCAGACAAGTTTGTAGTGGTCGTCTCTTTAGATTTTCATGGGGTTTGTCTCTAGCTGCTAGATGCTTGCATGCAGGCTGCCATGTCCTGCTTTGAATGGCGTCGCCCTCGGCCTGAAGTTGCTGCTTAAGCTGCTTGCTTTGTTACGTAAATCTCAGGTTCCAGCACTTCGTCTCGAACCCGGCCTTGCGCTCATCAGTCAATTCTTGCATGGCGTGGTCCCGAACAACTTGCAGCAGACACATAGTAGCCAGACATGTCAAATGCTGTCGAAAGTCTCTCATGGCAGATGGGCGAGAAGCATCCTATGTGTTCGATAGACAGCTCGCCACACGAGGGGAGCAAGACTTGCACACAAGGGTTGTCTCCAGACCAGGTCATGCCAGGAGTTTGGCAAACCGTGGCTTCCTTTGGAGCAGCCTTCATTGCCATGCAAGCATATGGTGCTTGCCTCAACAAACATAATCCCAAGGTAATGGGTTGATATGAACCCACGTGAAACAATGGCTGAGGACCTGGTCGTCCAGTCCTGGATTTGTGGCAGCCCAACCAGGCGCTACTGACCATCGCGTTTGGACCGATGCGGACGTGGTGCAGGACGTTGTCTATGAGTACGGGGCAAACATCAGCGACTTTTGGCAAGCGTGGAGCCCCAGCAAATCTCAACCAATAGAGCCTAAATGGGAGTTGATCAATATTCCTATATCATTTTTTTGTGATTTTCCAACCAATGGTCATGCTATGTATCACGGACCTTCTCAATCCCCAAATGAATCCAAAGCCTAAGGTTTTCTATGCCGTGAGGGGATCCATGAGCTTCTTTATGGCGCCTCTTGGCGGAAGTGAGGGTCATCTCCGCAGAAGGGTCGCAGTATGTGACAGGGTGGAGACCTACAAGCGCTCTCAACAGAACATGTCAAGAGCTGAGGCCTTAGCCAGTTTGCCAACTGTAATTCAATTGGGTGAGAAAACCTGGAAGCTTTCTGAGGCATCAGGCGCAGCTTGTTGCCGTGAGTTTGCAAGGTCGAGCAACTGCAAGACGCCTTTGAAACTCTGGCGAGCGAGGGGAATGAAGCGACTTTGCTGTTAACGAAGAGCTTTCTCGCACAAACGCTGATATCCGGGTCGGCCACAAGGTGAACTCGGGAACCTTCAAAGAAGGCTCCTACATTGCCTTCGACAATGTTGCAATAGTAGGGACCTTACACACATTTCAGCTGTGGCATTGCATTGCTTGCAAGCCAAGCAAGAGGTTTCCCATCCAGAGTGCTGTGACTCTATCAGTGAATGCACGCTGTCTACTCCAAGCATGTGCTTTCGGCATGCTTGCAGCCTTCAGTCGGCAAGCCAGGAGACGCCAACTGGCGTGCCACTGCTGGCCGGCCTCAGCTTTCAGGCCGAAGATTTGCAGAGACCCTCACAAAGCCAAACCAGTTCGGGAATGGCACGGGTCCCGGATTCGACGAAGTGCAGGTCAAGCCTGGAAGGCATTTGGTGATATGCGGCCACAATGGTGCGGGAAAGTGCTGGCTTCAGTCTGATCTGTTTCCTTTTGATTGCTCTGACTTGAATTGTCAAGCTAGGTCTTCCATCTTCCGTTGCTTGGCAGGGCTTTGGCCTGCTGGGCCCTCCGAAAACCCGAGACATGCCATGTAGAGAGTAGAGTCCACGTAGAGCTCGGCTCAGGCCAAGGGGACCATCACCTGCCCGCGTCCAAGTGTTGAGGGTGGCCTTCACGGCCGCGTCCTCGAGCGCTTTGTGCCCGCCAACCGCTGCTGCCGCTGCCGTCCTTTGGTGGTTTGCAAGAGGTGAGGTCTACTACCTGCCGCAGCAGCCGGTGAATATTTTCGGCACCTTGTCAGTGCTTGCCTCAGTGACTTGGATTTTTTGAAGGCAAGCCTTGTTTCATCCCCACTGACAAACACGCTTGTCAAAAATGGACTTGGCACAGACAGCTTTTGCTTGCTAGCTGCACTTTGGTATTTATTCAGTCTCAACTGAAAAGCCGAAGTGCAGTCCATTTGCTCTTGAGTTTTGCTTGCGCGCAATTCTAAGCAGTGACCATTCACATTTGAGGACCAGCTGACTTACCCTGAGCAAGTGTCTGGAGGCCTTGCTACAGATGAGTTGAGGCCATTGGGCGGTCGCGATATGAGGGCACTGAATGCCCAAGTTGCTTGGCTTGGCCAGGCGCTGGCTGACGTACGTTGGCCTTGCGCACTTCGTGGAGAGCGCAGCATGCGGCTCAGCCCGGCTGTGTCCAAACATGTGGTCTTGCAAAGCATAGATGTGGACCAACACACATTCGATAGCTCATGAAGATTCGTGGATGCGCGATCGAGGATCAGGGTGGTCTTTTGACTGAAGAGGCAGACTGGGCTTCGAGGCCACGGTCGACGCGCAAGTAAACTACATCGTTTTTGAGTTGTTGGGGTATGAGTTTGTCTCGTTTCGGTCCCAATCGGCATGATTGTTTTCTTGTTCGGGTCCCACGTTTGGCTAGGAACAAAGCAAGAGACTTCTTTTTTACCCCACACTTTTGCGTCAAGGACCTTTGCTGATGCTTTGTTGGATGTCTTCAGTCAGGCTGTCTCTGAGCGAACAGCAGCGACTGGGCATCGCACGAGCTTGCCTCTCAGATGTGCCGACATTTTTTGCGGGCATGTGTTTCATTTTCCTTGACTGCCCGAGCTTTCATTTAAGAGACTGCAGGTTTTGTACCATCGCCCAAGATATGCAATTCTGGACGAGTGCACCAGCGCTGCTTCGGACTCAGTAAGGAACAAATGCCAGATGTGGCGATGAGACCTTCCATGATCAAGTCTGCATTTCTCCAATCTGAGGTCTCAAAAGACTTGGAGAATTGGCTCTTCCAGGCCGTCTGCTAGCACAATGAATGAGCCCACACGGAAACAACGGGCACACACACACACATATTTGGCTCGAGGCGGTCAACGAGCTAGGCATCTCCTGTGTGACCATTTGCCATCGCCCGGCCTTGCTTGAGCAGCATCACCAGATGCCAGCAGCCCGGTCATAAATAAAAAAGTGCCGCAAACAGCGAGACAGTTGACTTCCGGATTGCATGCTTCGGGACAGTTGACTTTGGGTGGCTCAGAGTGCCCAGGTTGCGCCTCACTGGGCGCCTGGCCGAGGACGGCCTTGGCTGGGAGCTGGTAGACTTGCCGCCCATTCCGGAGGCAAATGGGCCGGGCAGTCGACCTCATGTGCTGTGATTTTTTTCCATGCTACAATCAATGACCAGCGGCGATGTACGCACGTTTCTATTGCAGTTGGGTCGAGTTTGGTCTTCAATGGTGCAGGGCAGTGACACGCGTGTAAAGTGGCAAACATGCAACATCATAAACTACGAAATGATTCGGAGGCTAGCACGGCATGATGCTGTCAAAGAGCTACCGCATCTGTTTGTATAGCCTGCCACTTCACGGAACATGAGCAGCAGCCGACAGTTGAAGCTGCGTAAAGTAACAATAAAACCACGCCTGTATGCGCTTTCAATTCCAGATGCGTAGCTCTTGCATATTGCGTTTCAGTCAAAGCTGCTGCACATCTTTTTGTTTTGACACCACAGGGCATCCCAAGAAGTCAATCAGCCATGTCACAAAAAGTGACTTTGCCATCAAGGCCTTGAAGTCTGGTGACAACAGCATTGCTCGCAGAAAACGCTTGCCTTTTCAACACAGCAACGCGGAACCACGAGCGAGCCCAAGCTACACCGAGCAGCTCACGTGTGGTTTCGACTTGAGGCCAAGCCTCCAGCCCGAAGCGTGGAAGAGGCCAGGTTCAGCTTGCAGCAAGACGCAACATCCTGTGGTTTGGTAGAGGTGACACTCCAGCGGGATGTCGGATTGTGTGGAGTATGGTGGGGATTGAAATTGCTACTTCAATGAGTTGTAAGGCAGGAATGAGTTGAATTCAGCGGGAACAGAGCCGCCAGGTGCATGCCCGCCTGGAGGCCATCCGCTGCCCAGGCGGGCGGGCGGAAATCCATGGCTGGCGAGTTAAGGCCCCGCTTGGATCCTGTCAGAGAGACACAGGCTGCGTTCACCAGCAAGCATCAAACTTAGCTTGCCTTGGCTGAAATAGATGGCACTAGTTTCAGTTTGGTTTGAATATGACTTTATGACTATGTTCTGGCAATTTGGCCTTTGCGAGTCAGCATGTGTGAGAGCCTGAAATCGCGGCAGGGCAACAAGCAATACGCTTAGGCCGTGGAATGGTCATCTCCGCCGGTGCCTTCGCAGAGAAATCCTCAGCATTTCCGCCTTGCCGAGAACAGCGCGGATCGAGCCCAGTTCCTTGGGGCTTTTGCGAGGCCTTCGCGACCCTCTCCCCACTTGGAGGTGGTGTTAAGGCCTTCGCATGAGTTCGCATCGGGTCGTTTCAAGGGGTCAGTTCGAATCCAGGCGCTTGCCGCGGGGTCTGCAGCGTATCGCAGCTGCGCTGCAGTCAGACTGCTTAGAGTGCTGGTGTTGGATCGGGATGTGAAATAACAGTCCTGGTGCAGTCGTACGGCCCTGTGCCCAATTGTTGGCCTCTTTTTCAGTGAGTATTTGGGACCGAAGGGGTGTTGGCTATACCGGCTAGGCCCATATGGCTTGACGTGACCCATATTCTCGCTCTCTTTGAGTTGCAAGGCTGGGTCGTTTGCAGCGCAGCTCGAAGCTGCGGGCGGCGCTTCTGGTAGCGGGGCGGCCCAGAGAGAGTCTTGGGGGCCACGAGGGGCGAAGGAACGGATCTCAGTTCCAGCCCTTTGCACAAGGAGTTCGGACAGCGAAGAAGAATATCTTCTTGATGAGGGCGTTTTTTTTTTTCAGGCCCATGGAGGCAGAATGCATTTTTGTTTGGAAGCAGGGGGGTTGGGCCCAAGTTGTGTGAGGATACCCGAGTGAAGCAGAGAGAGAAGCTGAGAGAGAAGCCGAGGCTTGCATGCTCCTGAGACCACAAGCTGCCTGGGAGGCGTGGCCTCGGGGCAACTCATGGATGAATTCCTGGAATCTGAGCTTATCTTTCTGAGGATTTCAAGCCATGCAGCTTGCTGGGCACCCAACCGACCCACAGGTGTTCCGCACCATTGGCGGCTCGGTGGGCTTGGCAATGTGCAACGATGGCACCGGAGTTTGCCGTGGCCTTTGTGAGATGTGGGATGTGAGACCTGAAGACACTGGCAAACAAAACCAGCCGCAGACAAAGCCGTTTCAGGGAGCATATTGCTGCGGATCACGTTTCCAAAGTCTGAGGGCTTCTTGCTCTGGATGAACTCATTTGTAAGTCTGTTCAAGTGCAAGTCCTGTTGGTTTCTGAAGGTGCCGAGTTGCTGATCAACATCACTTATGTCTGACACCCAGATGCAAGCTGCGAGCAGCTCCGAGCTTCAAGAGCTGAGGCATCGGGGCTTTGCTGCCTGGACAGGTGTGTGGAGGCAGCTGGAGGGGGGGAACTGGACCGGGTGCCTTCTGATGGTTCGAGGCTTTGAGCCGACAGCTGTCTCTCCAAGTGTGGTCGGACTTGGCCAGCGCTATGCATGGCCAGGCAGAGGGGCAGTGATAGGTGGCCAAGCCTGCGAGACTGAAAATCTGCTTGCTTTGCCTTGGCAGGCACTGCAAGCAGCGGCGTTTCATCAGGTGGATGTTGACAACCCCATGCAACGCATCGCCGAGGCAGCTGGCTGCTCGCTTTTGCATCGTCATAGTGTTTGGCGTTGCATCCTTCTCACTGCTGAAGAGAAGTTGGTTGGAGCTGACCAGGCAAAGATTCTCCTCGACGAGCTCAAGAGCCGCCCGCTTGATTTAGCTTTGATTACTGTCTTTCAAGCACCAAACTTCCGACGGCAATCGGTAATCCATTTGTGTTTGGTGACGTTGGAGTCTGAATTAGATGTTTGGGCAAGGTCAGCTTCAGTACGTCGGAGGGCAGACTGCAGACCACTCAGCATGAAGCTGCACCGAAGCTCGCATCTTTGAATGAGCAATGTATGGCAGTGCTCAGGTGCAGATGCTTTTTTGCCTTCCTTTGCTGGTACGTGGCGGTGGCCTGCCTCCGGTGCTTTGCTGGCAATATTTCAGGTGATGCTCCCATTCACATAGGTTTTTCTTGTTTAGACACTAATGCTGAATTTTAATCCGAGGCAAACATCCGCCTGAGGGAGTTGTAGAGCTTTGTATGTATCAATTGAGGCCATGGCGCTTCTGCTTCTGTATGCAACTCACTTTGCGGCTGCAACCTTGGTGCTGCAGTCATTCTGCCTGATTCTCCGCTGAACAGACTCTGTCGATCTTCAATTCCACCAATCGGAGTGGCTGACTTGTAGCAACTTGACCTGGGAGCCTGAACGTGTCAAAACAAGTTGCCTTTCTTTATGAGCAATTGATTTTGGCTTCCATTGAGGTGCGCACTTATTGGATGCCCAACATCAAGGCCACGCAAAGCGTATCACAGCACTTACTTAGCCATGTTTTTGCACGAATTGACGCGCATGTGCTAGCATCATGGTCAGTGAGAACACTTTGGGCTTCCGCAGGTTCTGCCAGTTTCAGGCAGTTGTGGTTCAACTTGTAGCACAGGCAATGACGGCGGAGTCATCGCAGCTGGAGGAGCAGTTCCAGGTGAGCGAGCTGACTAATGTTCGGAGAGCTCTCCGTGCTCGCGGCTCGAGAGCTCCAGGTGACGCAAAGTCGAATGCGCAGCGTGGCAGAGCCGGTGGCCTTCTCTGGCGGCGGTGAGGTGGGGCCGAGCGCATGCCGAAGGTCGAGGTCCGCGCAAGACATTTCCAGGCAGAGCGACTTCGCATAGAAGAGCGCTTCGAGAGGCGCGCAAATGCATGAGGCAAATGCATTGTTTTCTTCGGTTTTGTGTGAGCATCTCCGGTTCACTCAGCTCTTGCTAGACTTGCAATGCCTCCAAGATTCACCGTGACAGGTTGACTATAGAGATCCGCTTTTGCTGCAAGCTGACTTTGTCGCAGGTTGTGTGAGTACCGCCTGTGCTCCTTGAAGCAGGCCTGGGCATGAGGGCATTGCCTAAAACCCCTAAGTACTTTGGACATGAAGTGTGCACTATTGGAAAGGGCATGCTTGTCCATTCAAAAGGGGGACGTTGTGGAGGCCTGCGTTTTCCACACATTGTGGTTTATGTTTTGACGGTCCCCCTTTTTGGATGGCTTTAAAGGAAAACCAAGAAGAACAAGCAATTTGGGGGGTCCTCTAAATGATGACACACCCAAATTGCGATTCTGCGCGGAGAGAGTGCTGGAATTGCGGTTGCACGAGGAGTTCACCTACAACTTTCTCACTGAGTTCTTCTTGCTGTATGACAATCTGCCGATCTGGTCGCCTGGCTGTGGCATCTATTTTGAGCTTTGTTTCCAATTGCTTGATGTCCTTCAGGTTTCACCGCCTGATTTCCTTCAACTTTGCCTGGAGGAATGTTCCGATTGGAGGCGCTTTGACGCCCACGGTTATGTTCTTGCTGCTTGTGTATGCCAAACAAAAAAAGAGAGCAGTTTCAGCCACTCCTGCGTTGCAATACGATGGTGTTTCTTTGAGCAGGAGGCCAGGATGACTTTTCTTGATGTGGACATTTATAGTAAAGGTGCATCTCCAGCTTCGGCCGTGCAGAATTACCTCTATGACCGCTGGGGGCTCAGCCTTGCAGTGTTTGACGCAGACGCTTGACATGAGTGATTGTCGAGCTATGCCTTTATGGGTGTCACTCGAACCCCCCCAGGAAAACAAAGAAAACAGCAAAAACAAAACAGGTCTGGCCCATGACCATTTGGCCCTTTTTTTCCGCCCCTAGCACCATTTGCGCCTCAGGCACCATCGCCATGAGCCTGGTCGGCGTGCAGGCGCTCACTGCTTTTCCGGCCGAGCTGGCGAAGTCTGGACCTCGGCAGACGTTGCGCAGCATGACAAGTTGCCCCGGGTATGGGTCTGTGTCTTTTTGGTAGGTACCCCTTTTGGGTGGGTCTCCAACAAATACAAAAACCCTTTGGTTTTCGTTCGCAGCGGCGAAAAGCGTGAATTTGAGGATGGACTCGCGGGCCACCCGCCTGCTGGAGCTTCAGGAGGCTGGCCAGATTTTCCCTGTTGCGCTCTGCTGCCCCTTTGGAGGCGCTTCAAACGCAGTCCAGGCGGAGGGAGAGAGAGGGAGCGAGCGAGAGAGAGAAGGCTGAGAAGGGCGAGAGGTGCAAGAGACGAGGGAGATGGGGGGATGGGGAGAGGGGAGAGATGGGAGTTGGGAGAGATGGGAGAGAAAGCAGCCAGGACAGACTTGCGGGATATCACCGAAGACTCTGTCGACTTTCCCTCAGTTAGTTCAGGGTTTTATGTGCGCTTACATGCGATGATTCGGCATTTTGATGTTTGTAGCAGCACCGAGCATAGGTTTCCTTTTGAGCAGAAGAGCTTTTGAGTCAGTGCCAAGGCTGCTGAAGACCTGACTCTGTCGACTCCGAACCACGTGGTGCTGGCTCGGGAGCTGACCTTTCAGGCAGGAGTTAGATTGTCGTATGTGCAGGCACCAAACATGCATCAAAGACAAGATAGGGCTGAACAGCTTAACAACAGCTTAACAAAACTTTACACAGATTCGTTCGCCCTTCAAGTCTTTGGAACCCCTGACCCGAAAGCGGCTCGAGCCATTGAAATATCGTTTGCAAGACTGCTCCGTGCGAGGTCCAGCGAGGTGAAGCAATGCTGATCACCGGGCCCAACGGAGAGCTTTGCTCAGAGTGCGGAATTTTCGGGGATCACAACAGCAGAGGCAAGTAGCGAAAATGAATGGAGCATAATCCACAAAGGGTCACAGCAAGTCACTAAGTGATGGGCTGAGGCTGGGAAGACCGCCTTGGCCCGCGTGCTGCTTGGGCTTTGGCCTGTGGAGGGGAAGATCTGTGTGCCCCGTAGCTTCAGCATCGTGCCGCAGCGGCCGTACTTAGCTCCGGGCTGCCTGGGCGACCAGGTGACCTACCCGCTGCGCTTCGGCGCGCGGGACGCGACCAGGGCCACGGAAGCATTGCACCAGGTGGGCCTGGAGTACTTGCTGCTGCGGGGCCTGCCTGGCCGTGGCCGTGAAGCCCAAGGCAGTGGCAATGGCATGAGTCTGGAGGAGAAGGAAAAGCTCCAGGGCCTCTTCTTCGAATGTGACTGGGAGGTGCTGTCCGGTGGCGAGCAGCAGCGTTTGGCGCTGAGCCGCGCGCTCTTCCATCGGCCTGCCTTCGCCGTGCTGGACGAGTGCACCTCCATGGTGGCCGCAGATGCAGAGGAGTGGCTCTACCACGCGGTGGTCCAGGCCGGGGTCACGCCCCTCACCATGTCTCAGCGGCTCTTCTTGCCCAAGCTTCACACGCGCGAGCTGCGGCTGGGAATGGCCAGCCCTTGCAAATGGACCTTGGCCACGCCCTCAGTCACTGTCGAGACAGGAACATCATAGAACTGGATCAAGTTTGGCGCTGGAAATGAGGCCCAGCTGCAAAATGGCAGTTCCTGAGCCCAGATTTGAGTCCACAGGGCTTTGTGACCATTTGGGTCATTGTTGGCGTTTGGCCTTGCTCACAGCAAAACCAAGAGACTCTGTGAACAGATGCTTACGGATGCTTTGGACGTTGCAAAGCTCTGGCTTGGCCGACCTTGAGCTGAATGCCAGGTCTGATAACGAAGTGCGAGCTTTAGAGAAAAAAACATAAGTCCTCCAGAGTTTCCGTGAACCTTGGAATTTGACCTCCGCCCAAGAATATTTTTACATTGACTAGCTTGCTCTTTGACACAGGTCAGCACTTGGCAACCCCATGACACGACACGCATCTCCCCACACAAGAACACAAGGCAGTCCTTTTAAATGGGCACTTAAATGTATGTGACCAAGACCTTGATTTCGAGCCCTGCTAGGCTCAACCGCTAGTTGATACGGTGAGCTTGACTTGTTCTTCACCAAACAAACTGTGGCACTTTCTGACAGCGGTGCAGACCCACTTGTTGCAGCCATGGCCGACGGTCGCTTTGATGACTTGCCACTTTCCTAGAGAGCACTGGGCAACTTGCAGTAGACACAATGTGCATTTGGTATGCTTTGCTGGTCATGATGAACCACAAAATCCTTGCACATGGGCACATGGGTGCAATACGACGAAGATGTGCAAAGGTTGCTGAGCATGGCGCGACAGCATTCCAACGTGGAGGCTATGCTGCAATCATGAAATGCTGGATGCCGCATTGTTTCATGTCCCGCTTGAACAACATGCACGACAACATTCATGAGTGCTTTTGAGTTCGTCCATGATTGCTGCGGTTAGCTGCACTTCTCATCAGATATGCGTGGAGATCGGTGTTTGCTCCAGGAGCTGACGTGGAACTTGTTCAGCTTCTTCGAGCGTCGCACGGACCTCTTCCACGTCATGGAGCGCTCGAACGATCGCCGCGCCCCCAGACCGAGGGTTTTCGAAGGGATCTGTTCGGAGTTTCTGCGGCAGGCATGGGCTTTGGGCCTGGGATGGCCGAGAAGATGCTCATGAAGCACTTCCGATTTTGCCACCTCCCGAGCCGGAAGCGTCTCTCTCCTTTCTTTTGGGTCAGCTCGGCGTGTAGCCGAGCCCGGCGAAGACCGCCTCCTGCAGCCAAATGGCTCCAGCGCCTGCGAAGCAGTTCAGTGTGAGCATGTGATGCGGGCGGGACTATGGAGCCCACCTCTCAGTGCGAGTTGCTGCCTTTGTGCGGAAGAAAACGTAAACGATCACTTTACGAACGGACGAACATTTGATTCCCAACCCTTTCTGGTGGCATGGCCTGAAACCAGTTGCTTGCCTCGATGCTGCACCATGCAACCCGGATAGCATTGGCCTTTGTTCTAGCAATCTGATGACGAACCGACAAGGTCCAGCCAACGAAGATGCCAACTTGCTGCAGTCGCTGCCAGCTCTGCAGCTGCACCGAATCTTGGCTGACAGAGCTGCAGCCTGAAGATGTTTGAAAACCAGGGGGCAAAAATTGGATTCGCTCGGAGGGATTGCTTTTGTGACAGCCATGCAGCTTCAGCTTCATTTGAGGTGTGCATATGTGCCACAGACTCAGATGGCCAAGTTTGCTTCTACATGTGGCGAGAGAGTGGCAGGCCGCAGCACTATTCAGCCCATCTCTGTGATGTGGCGACACAGCACTCCCTCCAGGCTCTTGCCCGAATCACCGATTCAAGACCGATTCGGACTTGGCTTGCATGTTCTTGTGCGTGTGTGTGTGTGTGTGGGTTGGTGGAGGCACTACAAGAGGATCTCAGAGTGTGTTGCTGCCGCAGAACACTCTGTCACTGTGCGGTGCTCACTGACCCACTGACTTTCGCCGGCATTTGAAATCTTAGCCATGTCTGAGGAGGCGCGTATGTCCGCCAGTGCAGTCCCTTGTGCTAGAGTGCCGCTGCCAACCATTAGCATCGAGCCTCCAAAGCTGCTGGTCACGGCCTCTTGGCTTGCAGCGAAGCCAATCACACATATCACATATCCAGAAGCAATGTGTGTGCTTGAAGGGAGAACATCATACAACCGTTGCATTCAATTGGCACCATAGATGCAGTGCCTTGGCAACTTTGCAAGGACCAATGCCCCCAAGTTGGCTCAGGTGTCGGATCCAGACTCTGGAAGACGCCGCTGGGATGCGTGAGTCCACCTCGCCCCTTCTCGTGCCTTTTGAGATCTGCTGTTTGCGGTCAAGTGTTCATGCTGCTAACTAAGGAGTGTCACACAAGATTTCCCTGGCCTTCTGCGATGCCATTCCGTGCCTTCTTACAGGCCAGGAAGTTGACCTCAGAAGCATCAGAGCCTGATCCTCCCTGCATATCCTATTTCTCGCTGCAGATGCCTGTTTGACGCATGCCGGAACAGAAGAACTAGATTGTCGATCTGCAGGCACCAATATAGTCGCTTTAGATCCGGACTGCAAGCCGGTGACTTTCTTGGAGGGCAAGCTGGGCATCTTGCTGGCGCCGCTTTGCTAAGATTGCACACTTTTTTCATGCTCGTTGGCAGCACCTTGGCGAATGAGGAAAGCTCCGACCAAGAGCAAGGATTTGCGGGCCACAATGACTTGTGGCAACACTGGAGAGGAGCTGTTTGCTAGAATCAATGCATGGCTTGCTGTTGCGGCAGGTTACAGTTTTGTCAGGCTGATGTGGAGTCTTTTGTCGGTGTGGCTGGACTAGGGGTGGGTGTGTCAATCTGTCGCTTGGACAGGAGAAGTATGCAGTTGCTTCGCAACTGTGGCTAGTGTATGCCGATGATTGCAGTTAGGGCCCGAGCTGGGGGACATAGGACTGCTTTGCAGCATGCTGAAGGCTCGGTCGAAAGCACGCATCTTCCATTGTAGATTGTTCGATTTTCATGCGCACGGACATTGGTTGCCTGGTAAGAAAGCAAGAATCCAATTGATTGTTGCTGCACTGAGGTCCTTTGCAGCTGCAACAAATTTTACTTGTGATGAGCTTGCAGGGCGCAATCTTGCGCACTGGCCTGCATTGAGAAGCCATGAGAAGCGACAGAGTTAACCAGAATGGATGTCCCCGAGCAATTCACAAGTAACATCATTGTTTGAGCTCGCAATTCCAAGCATGATCAGACCTTGCCTGGCGCTTCCAAGAGCTTGGGCATTTGTGCAAGGCACAACATCACCCCTAGATGGCAGATCGAGCCCAGTCCACTTCGCCAAGGCTGCAAGGGCCTTATCCATGAGAGATCAGTCAGAGGGCAGGTCTGTTATCTCAGAGTTTGATTCCGACCTAAGTCTATGGTCTTCTGGTATCTGGAAAGGCCGTGCTGCCGGTAGAACAGGAGCCCGGGCACTGACATGACCCAGAGAAGGCATCAGAACAAGTTCTCCCAGATGGCTGAATTCCTACTTTTGAGCAGGCGGAGATAGTGCTTGGGGTGCCGCAGGTGCTGGTGCTAGTGCGGTTGTTGGTGCAGGATGCTGTTGCTGGCGCAGAGTGCTGGTGTTGGATTGCTGACGCTGGGTATTGGTGCAGGGTCATTCCGGGTGCTGGTGCAAGGCGATTTCGCACGCCATAAGATGCATTGACATCCCCGCATGCAGTCTTGCAGACAGATATGCTCAAATTGCTGCACAGAGGCTAACAGTTTGAGAGTGTTTCCTTTCTGCTCTGTTTTGCCGAGCAGCTCAGACGGAGCTGAAAGTGCATGCTTGTGCTGCTTGTCTGAAGGAGCCTGCCCAGAATATTACTATGAAGGTTCCCGGCAAGGCCCTGGCGTTTGCGGGGCAAAATGCCCTGCTTGCTTGGATTACCATCACGGATTGTTTTTTTCTCCAGGTGCGAGTGGTGGACCTTTACAACGAGGCACATCGTTCAGACCAGAGTCTCATGTCTTAGAATTAAATGGTGCTGACGGATTGCCTACACCCCCTTTGGCGCACGTGACTCAGTGGGTGGGCAGGTGAAGTTGTCCGTGATGGTGAAGGGCCACGAAAATGTCGTAGACTTCAGGAGCGGCATTGGTCAAGGTTTAGCTTGAATGGATCTGGCTCCATTCAGGGGCATCTTCTACATGGATGCCATGGAGTGCAAGCAAGTCTCAGATATCCTGAGCCCTGCAGTGGCTTGTGCAACCCTTAGAATCAGCAAACCAGGCTGTGGATCCGTAGTGAGAGCTAGAGAGCAGTGGTAGTTTGTTGCAGTGGAATTTGGAGCTAAGGCAATATAGCAACCTATCACTCAGATTCATGGCCGCAGACAATCGTATCAACATCGAGAGATGAGAACCGCAACTTGCAGATTGAAGCGCATATTTTTGGCGCCTGAGGAGATTGCGCTTGTCTTCAACAGCATCGAGGCAATTTGCACATCCCACAGACTTAGACCCGTACAAAGTGCCGTATCCCCGAGGGCCTCTCGCTGCACACGTGGGTGCGAAGTGAAAGAGGGCTGTCGGAAGCCTGCGCTCTCCATGCGCTGAAGGCCTGGCAGCTTTGCATTTAATTCGAACGCTTGGGCGTAAGAAATTGGGCTGAGTGCCTCTCAGTGTCTTCTCATGTCTTTGTTACCCCACTGGTGGCCATCAGAATAGGTTCGCGAATGGTGTTTTTGTGCCTTCACATGGGTTAACAGATGCTGCGCTAGCAAGCTGCCTTGCCAGGGGATCGGAGAAGCACTGAGATACATCCACTCGCTGAAGATTGTCCATTCCAATGCTACTTGAGCATGTCTTGCCAACGGTCAAGTCTGCTATGGGCAGCTTGTTGCCATTTCCATTGTAGTATACCGCATGCCAGGTCAACCCAGAGAGCATTTTTATAAAGAGAGATGGCGATTCTGTGCTGGAAGCATGGTGGCAGGTTAAGAACGTTCGCTGTAGTTGTGTCGGGCATGTTTTTCAAATACAGTCTTTGCATGTATTGTTCCCGTGCAAATGTACAAGGCGGACTTTGGTTTTGCAGTTCAAATGGCTGACGAGCTTCAGATGCGAGCTCAGCATTTTGCAAGAAGCAGTTTTTGTGCGGCACACGCACACGTGACAAGCACCTTGTCCTCTCCATCTTTTCCAAGGATTGCGTCGGGCCCTGTCAACGCACGAAGTCTTGCACCGCCAACATTTTCTGCTCCAGAACAGGTGCCAGCCATAGCATCTCTGGGTTTTATTTGCTGATCCTGGCATAATGCCTACAGAGACGTCTGAGCGGGCCTGCCAGGTGGGCGATCATTGCACTTACGGCAATTGGGCAGCAGTCAGCGCAGACGGCACATGACATTGCGCTGAGTTCTCTGGTCGGCGTTTTGACCACAATTACTTTGTTTCGGAAGTGAGCGGCGTCCTTTTTCGATTGCGAGGTCTTCCGGCGGATATCTTTGCCCTGGGTGGTGCTTACCTCAGGTTTCTGCTCTTGTTCAGTTGTTTTTTGACGGCCATCCAACAGCAAGGCTGCCTCTACTTTGCCCTGAGCGACTTGCCGCCCTTTCGGGGAAAGTGCCGAATCTTGGCAGGGTATCTTAAGCCCTGGAAGCTGTCCTTCCCTTCCATAAAGTCAAAATGCAGGTATTTGTCTTGTGCAGCCAGATTGCAAGCAAACAGCGTGCTCTGCTCCTCGGAATCCGAGGAGAAGACCTTGTGCGCAGCATTCTTCACCGGAATCCGGATGCTTGCCTTCCTTAGTGTCATTCTGGGCGTTTAGCAGGCATTGTGGTCACCAAGATGGAAGTCAATTGATCTTTGCGCAAGGATCTCCGACGACCTGAATTCAAGCATGTGAGTGCTTTGGGCTCAGCTAGAGCTGTGGGTGGAGAACTAAACCTCTAGTGACTGAGCTTCTTGTACAAGGCCAAGACGTCGGACTTCGTGCGAATGCTAATGCTCTGAGCTTACAATCACTGGCTTGTGGGCTTCTCTTCAGAAATGCTACACTGGCAAAGCTGGGCTCTAACAGAAATGTGAAGCTCGGTTTTTGTTTTCGGTGAGGTATAAGGACGCCCTGTCTCGTCCGACAGCTGATGAAGCTTGCCTGGTGCGCTGTGCGTGTCGTCTTCGTTGTGATGATAGATTCCAATTGCCGCGAGGTTCTTCGGAATCCAGAACATTCCTATTTCTCGGACGCTGTAAGCGAGCTAATGGATGTACGGCAGCCACCGATTACTGGTCAGCGCCCAGGGTACCGCACATCTGATTATGCCACCGTTTTGCAGTGTAACACTTTGGCTTCAATTGTGGACACTTGGTTGTTGTACCTCGCTTTTTGTAAGGTGTTAGTACTCTGGTGCAGCGAATTTCGCGCTACATACAAAAGCAAGCTGCTATAGTCAGGACCCACCAGCTGGCTGAGTGCTGCTCTCTCCTGTCAGATGCACTGCTTTGCGTTTGGAATTAACCAGCGCTCGGCGGCCTGACAAAGCTCGCAGGACCTTGGGACGTCGAAAGGATCGCAGATCAGTGGCTCCCTTTGACGACGTGGCAATTATTCCCAGCGTCTCTCGGCATTGTTTGGCTTCCCTAGTTGAATTTTGACACCTTGAAACATGATGCATGTTTGCGAGTCTTGCACTCTTGGAAAACTTCTTTCGCCAACCACCACTTTTGCTCTCAGGCACCACAAGCCCAGATTGCCACCACAAAGTGTGCCGTGGCTACGGTCAGACTTGTTTCAAATGAGGTTCGAAATCTTGTGCATGACAACTCAGGATGGCTATGATCAGGGTCGATTTAGTCAATGGTGGTGATGTGGCTATTGCCAAGCTATTTTGAAACCTTCCACAAGTCGAAGCCTGCTGATTCTGCAACCAGGAATCTGGGTTGCAGGGCTGGCATTAGTTCGGTCATAATTTCCAGCAGTCTGTGCTCAATTTGGGACGGCTTGTCCTGCAAACACCAGGGGACACATACTAGCCCATGTCAATCACGGCAGCGGCATAGTTGGCAGAAACTATGGGGTCGGGCTGTTCAAAGCATTTGTCTACGTCCACAAACAGGCCGCAACGTGTAGATAGATAGTTTCGCAAGTATTTGTTGGGAAATTTAATTAGCATCCTCAGCAAAGCTGAGTTGATGCGAGCGAGAAGCTGAGCAGCAGCGGCCATTGATAGCATGGATACATTTTTGTATGTCACATCAAACATTCTCAACCAGCAGGCATCTTGCGAATGTCTGGCGGCTGCATCGCTTTTAAACCGGTCGGGGCGTGAAGCTTCCAAAGTTAAAAGGTTGCTGCGTCTGTGCTGAGTCTTGCGCAGCATGTTTTTGTAGTCCTTATTTGGTATTTGTTTGCATAGGACAAGCAAGCAGAGCAAGTGCAGTCGGCCCACCACCTACCAATGCTGTGGTGAGGTCAACAGAGATACCTTGCTCAACATCAGCAGCACGCCCAGCACGTGTGGCTTGTGAACCAAGGAGGAGCCTGTGCGCCGAGCTATGCAAACTTCCTGCGTAGGGTTCTTACCTGCTTTTGCTGACTCCTGTTACTGGATCTCGCTCTCTCGGTGGCTTTCATGTAGCCTGTGCTTGGTGATGGCAGCTGCCCCGACAGGCAAAAGGTTGAAGGAAGTCCGAGTGACGACTCTCAAGCATGACGTGTTTTGGCTGCATGTGCTGGATGTTGAGGAGCTGCCGGCAGTCTAGAACGGCACTTGGAGAATCAAGCAAAGTTGAGTGAAAGCAGGATATCGAAAGCCATGGGAAAGGCAGTGCAGCAAGGGCCAAGCAAGGGGAAGGGAAGGGAAAGCAAGAGATGAGGAAGGAGAAAAAGGCAGAAACGGGAAAGAAAGCAAAGGGCAGAACGCACATATCAGAGAGGAAGCAAACAATACACGAACACCGAATTAGAACATTGGACAGAAGGCAGGACAGAGAAAGACGAGGACAGGTGAAGGGAACGGTGAGAAGAACGTTGAGGATGGCATAGAAGAAAATTAGAGGTGAAAGGAGACGAGAAGAGCAAGCAAGCCAAGGAAGACAGCAGGGAAGGTTAGAGAAAAGAAGCCGAGCTTTTTGCCTGGAGTGAATGTCCTGTGGAAATCGTATTGGAGTTTGCGCAGATTCTTGCTCCTTACCTAGGCTGCCAGTCAGCCACAGACGGCCAAAGCTGACGACGGCGAGCCTTCAACCCACACACACACATGAATCACACCAATGAACAGTTTCCCAGTTCAGAACGCAAGACCCGGCGGAGTGTTCCGCATAGAATAATGCCATTGCAAGCTATCAACAGGCAAGGTAGCCCATATCCTGGAACAACCTCGAGCTGCGATGACCACGAAAGGGGATCAATGCATGTACATGTGTCAGCTTGAGGCCTCATTTGCTTCAAGAACCAGATGGTGAGCCAGGCAACAGGGAAAGCGGAGAAGCCGATGTCGTGGAAGTTAGTGTGTGTGCTATCGAGCTTGGATAGCCTCAGCATGGAAAGAGGCGGTTCAATGGTTCAAGTTGTTTGGGGCGGGAGCGCCTTGGCCTGCCAGTCACGGCAGGCACCGGGGCACCTTCGGCTGCGGCGCCTGCGGCGCCTTCGGCGCCTTCGGCGCCCTCGGCGCCTTCGGCTGCGCCAGCGCCGGAAGAGGCGGAGCCGGCGATGCCCGAGGAGACCCGGAGGCGCATGGGCCAGCGAGAGGGAAGGGAGGGCCTGGCGTTGAAAGTCGGCCTCTCAAGTCGTTTTCCGGATGTCTCCAGTGGGCAGCAACGTGTCGGAGTGTTTGGTGTTTTCTCCAGCGTTTTTTGGGGGTGCAAAGGGCACCTTCCTCCCGATATTTGCTCGAGTAATTACTTTGTGCAGAAGAGAAATGCTGGGCTTTGTGGCGGGTCTCAGTGGCGCGCAAGGCACCCGTACATGAACAACTTGTCAACCAGCCTCAGCTTAGCCTCCGCTTTTCCATAGCCTGCACAGCGAATGAAACATCCAAAGTGTGAGGAGTCTCCTTTCAAAGGAAACCACTTAGCAAGGAGGGGCTCCAAAGCGGGCAACAATTTGGACAAGCCCTCTCAGGGAGCGTGGTGGGACAATCACGTTTTGGAAAGGCAGACCTTTTTGCAGCACGTTGTAAAGGTTCCTAGGTCGCCGCTTTGAAGACACATTCAAGTCGCAATGCAGTCGCAATGCAACATGTCGCTGCTTTTGCGGGGCCTTTGCCAGGAAGATGAAGCCACTTGGTTGTAAGTTGCACATTCTGCGTTGCCGACTGTGTATGTTCACAGCATGCCCCTTCGAGATCACTGTCTGACACGAATGCATGCAGTGTCAGCAAGGCATATCAGCACGTGGAATGGGGTCGCGGCCTTGTGTTACAGACTGTGGCAATCACAGTGCATGCATAGACCTTTGCTGGCAGCGAAATCCGTCTGAGCCCGAGGCAGTCACCGACAAGTACTACTGGTCCCAGTCCTTGCAAGAGGTGACGCTAGAGATTGAGGTTGGCAATTGCAAGGCGTGGGAACAAACATGCGATTCAGCTTTGTTACATTTTGGACTAGAACGCTTGCATTAATGTTTTCAGTGCACGTGTCCAGAGGCTTCTGATGTCAAGGTGGACATAAGTGCAACCAGGCAAGGCTGGGGCGCAGGCACTTCAAGGCAAACGCGTGTGACCGATACAGGCTCACCGTGATGAGAGGCGAGGAGACGGTGCTGGTGGGGAAGCTGCATGAGAAGGTCTTGCCAGAGGACGCATTTGGTGGATAAATGGCCCGGTTTTGGAGTACTATGTTGAAGTCTAGAACTGAATCGCGCTTAGTTAGACAATTTTGCACTTGTGAAATCATCATGGTAGAAGGTCCTTTGACAATCACAAAACACTAAACAGAAGCAATGACTATCACACATCGTGTCAAGTTTTTGCCGTTCAGGAGGTCCTCCAAATCTCACACTTTTTCTTCGTCAGGAATCAATTTGGCACCTAGAAGATGAGCATCAGGCCGCCGCCTCATGATGTGGTACGTCTCTCCCCTCCAAATTCTCAACGTTTTTCTATTTTTGTTTCCTTCCAATCCGCCGAATAGATTGTCCAAACCTCGATGTCTCCGGACGTGTGAACAGCTGCTCGGAGGGATGCTCATGCGGTTGGTTGCCTGAAACGAATGAGACAAGGTAAAGCTCTCGAAGCCAACCATATTGGGCAGAGGGATTCCTAGTTTGCAGACACTGCCATTGGCAATTTTGCAGGTAAAAAACATGTACCAAGGTCATCATCTCCATGCAGAAGTCCAGAGAAAACTGGTGGAAATGTGTCCTGGAGGGTGATCCGGACTGGGCTCGGCGCCAGTTTTCGCAGGGCGTTCCCTGTCAAATTCACTTACAGTTGGTTTATCGCAAAGACGACGAGCACGGCTTTCGAATCAAGCTTTTTTGCAGTCGTTTTGTAAAGCAGAAGGCCATATACAAGGCTGACATCCGTTCTGGCCTTGCGCGTGCTTTTGAGCAAGGCCCTCATAGGTTTCGTTCTGTGTTGGTTATGTGACAGCCAGGAGATCGACACTACAAAGGCGCCCTTCTGAGATTCGGTTTAGCATAGATGGCAATATTGGTTGAATTGGAGGTGGAGTCGACCCGGAAGATGGAGGAGTATGATGGTGAGACGCAGGGTGCCATCAGGAGGGGGCTTGAGTCATTGAGAGGTGCAAAAAGCGCCTTCCATCAAGCACAGCAAGCGACAAACAGTGCTCAGTTGGCAAGGCGTGAAGCAACAGCTCGCTCGCGAGTCTCGCGAGGAAGATCATGTTTGATCAGAACCAGAAGCTTCAGGCCGGCGCGCTGAGGAACTGTGGCACTCAGTCCTTGCGAGTCAGGGCAAGCCAAGCTCCGATCAGCTCCGGACAGCCGAGATGATGAAGGCTCGCCTGGTTATGGCATAGCTGCGTCAATGTGTGAACATGCAGGATGCATGGAATGCGGAAGGGTCTCCTTTCCGCGGCACGGAATTTGTGGGAGCCTTATTGGCAGTTTGAATGGATGTAAATGATTGATGTCCTTGCTGGGCTGGCTTGGACAATGTGCTGGCTGCATGCTAAACCAGCCAAACAACTCGGTTGAGATCTCTTCTTGCAGGACCCCACTATGTTGAACCTCTCCGGACCAGTTGGCGAGGATTTCTTCAAGGCTCGCCAGCACGGTGGGTGCTTTTGGATCCAACACCAGTACCACGTTCAGCAGCATCCATCACAAAGCCGAATCTCTTAGTGCAGCTGTACTGCTGTCAGTGCCAAGCTACCCTTGCCCCGATGCAACTCCCTGCACGGCAGGTTTCAAGGACACGTCATCTAATCCCCAAGAAACCAGAATCCAATGGCAAGGGCCACCGCAACATGTGAGCCAGAATCAAAGCCCGGTAAGTGATATTCCAACTATAAATGCGTGCCTTCGCCGCCTTTTTGATTCTTTACATTTTTTTTAAATACCGATCAGTTTTGATTCTGACTCATGTGGGGCTGTGGATTTCTCTCAGGCCATGGAGGAGAAGCGAATCCAGGGAGCACGCGAGAGACAGGCCAACTCCACCGTGAGCATCAAGGGGGTTGATGATTCAATTGTGGAACCAGTGTGGTCATCTCATGTTTAGGCCTTTTGATTCCGATATTCAAATTTGACTTGTCCTGCACATGCATTCGCGCTTGGAATGTACACAGCCTGCGGGAGACGTTTTGTCTTTCATAGGCTACTGGAAACATTTTAAATGCGACCGGCACAGGGTGGCTCGCAGTGACGTCCTCTCGACGAAAGGACGCTTTGAGACTTGAGATGGGCCAGACCTGAGCGTCCTTTCGCTGCATTTCGGCACTGCGTTCTCGGAGGAGTCCGGGAACTTCAGCCGCCGCGGTTACGCGTTGGAAAAGACGCAAGGATGGGCGAGGTGGATACGTCAAAACAATGCAAGGCAGGCACTTGCCGCTGACTCTTTTGAGACTGGATGGTTGATTTGCTGTTTCCGGATCACATGGGGTTGCTGGACATGGTGATTTTCAGCAGGCGGACAAATGGCTTGAATCAAACTTGACTTGATAGCTATTTGAGCGCCAAGCATTTTCATGCACGCCTTTTGCCAGGCTCAGCAGAATAGGCAACCAGTGCGCAAGATTCCGTCTGTCTCTCGTTGATGGCCATGTTCGCCGCCTTTGGAAAGCCACTTTCATGAGCGGCCGAGTTTTAGCTCCCACTGACCGGTATGAGGCGTGTGTCAATGATGGCGGAAAGGAGCACCTGCTGGGAACTGGCGCCTATGGAGAGGTTGTGCTGGTGCGGAAGCGGGGAGCTGGGTACAGGGCAATGAAGCGCTGCGTGGACTGCTTGAGTCCTTCGGATCCAGGCACACTGAAGCGAATGTATCGCGAAATTGCCGTTCTTCGGCAAGTACACCATGATAACATCATCGCACTTACGGATGTGTTCCTGCCACACGTGGGACACGACTTGTTCCTTTTCTTTCAAGCTGCATCCTGCGATCTTGAACATGCCATACGGTACAACATGCTGGATGAGCTTGCTCAACAAAGTATTGGCTGCGACGTTATCCGAGCACTGGCGTACTTGCACGCATCTGACCTGATACATCGAGACCTCAAGCCAAGCAACGTTTTGTTGGACGAGAGCGGGGCCAAACTCTGCGATTTTGGCCTCGTTCGATTGATTGGTTTGTATCCCAAAGGCCTGACCGAGTATGTGGGCATGCGCTGGTACCGCGCTCCCGAGCTTTTTCTCGGATCCAGATGCTACAACCAGAGCATTGATGTTGCTCGCTCGAAATACTCGAGGGCCCTCGCCCTCAATCTTTGCTTCAATGAAGACTTCCATTTGAGATTTTGGTTTGGGGTTCCAATGAGCAGTGTTGTTATTGCGGTCCAACCTGAACAATGGCGGAGAGTAGCCATTGTTCCTGCGATGTTGCTGAAAGGTTTGGTCCTACGGATGCGTTGTGGCTGAGATGGTCCAGGCCTTAGTCCAACCTGGGCATTAGCAACTCAATCACCTTGTGCTTGTGTTTGGGCTCCGGGTCCCCCTTCGCCCACCTGACTCCTTCCACCCCGGACTCTTGGAATTCTTGTGGCGAACGTGCTCCGAGGCTTTGGGCCGACCGCTGCTGGCGGGGATTGACTCGGAGGAGCAGCTCGGGCTGGTGGTGGGGCTCCTGGGCCGTCCCACAGAGCTGGAGGCTGGGGAGGGGCAGCATGTGGGCGTGAAGCACCCAGCTAGCCACCGATTGGCCCAATTCGGCCCAACCGGGCTTGCAGAGGGATTTGTAATTCTGTTTTTTCTGTCTTCTCCTCTCTCTCTCTCTCTCTCTCTGTGCAGGCAGAGCTGCCAGGCGTGCCGCTGGAAAACGTGCCGCGTGCTGCCCCAAAGCGTTGAGCGCAGCGTGTGTGCAAGTTTCCAAAGCACCAGGTCTGATGCGCACCGCGCCTGTGGGCGCAACATTAGAGCAGAGGATGGCTGAGGCCGGGCATCCTGCGGTCCTATGTCAGAGTTGCAAAAATGACATCAAGGAGCATGGATTGGGCATGGATGTTTTGGTGGTGTGTGTTGGGGTGACACTTTTGTCGCCAAGCGTAGTACAACATCGATTCCCGAGCTTCGATTTTGCCCATATATGCCTTTTCGTGATGTATGTATGCAGCAGGATAAACCCAGCTCAACGATTGATGCTTATCCAACTGTCACCTGCAATGCGCCAACTGGCCACAAGAGCTGCATTCCGCATGCCACTCGCCCTCACAGAGGTTGCGAGCTCACAATGCTTGGATTTATTGCGTGACAGCCTCAGCTAAAACTAAAGAGTTTAGCTAAGAAGCGCTTCCCGGCATGTCGGCAATGTTGGTACTTTCTTGTTTGGAGCTTTTGCTGTCGCCTGTTGCACGTGAAGAGATTCATCACGGAGCAAACGGACGGCATCGGTTGCCGCTGTCACGTCGTCTGCAAGGCAGCTGCTTGAAGCTATCTCCAGAAGCGCGGGCTACGGCGCGGGCCTCGGTGAAGCGCTGGACCGGAGTGCGAGAGTGGTCTAGGCCGCCGTGCTTCTGCAGCATCCGCTTTTCGCCAAGCTGCGCAAGGAGCGTCGGAGGGTTGGTTTGGCCCTGTTTCAAAGGGTTTGGCTGCCGGGAAATCTACAGGACATGGCCCCAAAACACGCTACCTAAGCCGTTTTCCTGTAGAACTGTCCTGTAACCCAACCAGTTTGCTGTTGAGATGCAGAGCCATTGCCAAGTTCTGAAGCGATCTAGCTTTGAAGTTCAGGAAGCGGATGACATTCCGCTCAGAGAGGTGGTGCAGTTGGCCAGCGACCGCAAGGACTCTTGTGCGATTTTCCCATCTCTATGCGTCTACTCACTGAAGTTGCAAATTTTGTTCAATTATGTTCAGTTGTGAAGTGGAGGGACGCCTCATCATGCAGTGTGGTGGCAGTCTTGGGTTACAGTTGCATTTCTGAAGCATTGGGACAAGCTGCGAAAAGAGAAGGGCCATGAACTGTTGGGCGGCATGGCGCCTTTCTGCGCCTTTCTTATCACACATGTCATAGCAGTTGGTTCTGCATCTTTGCCTGACTATGCATCCAGCAGACGGAGTTTGGAGAGGATGTACCCCCGGATCAGCTGATTCAGGCGATTGAAGATGAGGCGATCTCGGGGGCGTTAGGAATTGAGCTTTCTCTCTAGGCTTGCCTGCCTGCGCAGGGCTGTCTTTCTGAGATGTAGGTGCGGGCATTTGTACCGAAGTTGTTTTTTGGCGGCCAGTGGCAAGCCGCTCCAGTGGTGCATTGTGCTTTCTAGATGATCCTAATTGACCAGTGCAGGAAAGCTTGCTTTGCTGGGGTCCTTGTAGATCAGGGGCATGGCAGCAAGTACTCTCAATTTAGGGTTCGCACTCAGGACAACGTTCCTTCTCGGAACTTCTGAGATAGCATGCTGGGGCTGCGATAAGTACATGAGCCCCATTATGCATAGGCGCAGTTTGCAGGAGCATCTCACTTCCTGCCGGGAAATCTCAGTTCCTGCCGGGCTGTCCTGCGATGGAACCCGAACCCTGAGAGGGAGCGAGCAGAGCGAGCAGAGCATGAACATGTGATCGCTTGTATTATATGATGTAACGCTGTTTTAGGTCATGCTATGTCATGTCAGGTATGTATGTGTGCTTGGATGTATGTATGGCATGGAATCTAACTGCATGGCATGACACGCCAAGCAATGTAATGTAACAGCATGCACTGTAATGTGATATAATGTATTGTGATGTAGTGTGATGCGGTGTGATATTACTGCATGTGCACATGTTTCTTTTTGCGCCTAAATGTACCCGGCTCGGCTTACAACGCTTAAGAGTTAAGGTATTGGTTGGACGCCCACCCGCACACACAGCAAGAATGTGGTCAGCGCTTGCAATGCTTCAGCTCGTCCTTGTGGCGCAGGTGCTGCTTTTGCAGTCAACTCAAGGTGGGACTCGATGTGTTGTATTTACTGAGTCCATTTTGGCCATGATCAGGCACTTCTGAAAGTGAGGAGTCGCAGCAAGAACCTGATGCGCCGAGAGATGAATGTGTGATGTCTCCGTGCACGTTGCGATCTCAAGCCTTCTTCTGGAGTTGTTTGCGACTTCCTCTGCAAATCATGACCGCAAATTTGTTTCCCGCCGCAGCCATAGATATCATGGAGACGGCTTGGATTTGACAAGGCAGATGCTTGACATACAACAAGTTAAGCCACCACCACACATTTTCACTCCCTTGGGTTCAGCCCATTGTTTGCCCGTAGTTGGCGCATTCCGCAGAGTGCAGTTTGGCCCCACGCGAGCTGCAAGAACTTGTTTAACAGCGGCTCTCGCCACTGGCTAGTCGATGACATGGCCGAGCTCTCAGGTTGCTTGAACGTGAGTCAGAGACAGCAGCTCGTCTATGAATTGGAATTCCGAGGAGAGACCGAGCCACGAACTCTGCAGGCACGGGCCACTCTGGAGTCTTGCCGAACCGTTGCAGTGGGGGCCACCCTTTGAGGCCGATGGGCACCGCCAAGCCCGTGTCCTACAGACTCCCGGATGCTTTGGCTTCGTGATTGGGGTGGCGCAAGTGTGGTGCACATGATCGGTTGGATGATTTTGCGCAGTCAGGCTGAAGCAAGCTTCAAATCCAATCAAAACCCGAGCTACAAGTTTGGCAAAGCTAAGCGGAGCTCAAGCTAAGGTGTGCAAAAAGCGACAGATTTCGACACCATCCTTCAAGAGGCATCAACATTTTCATGCATTGGCTTGGCTACGCTCCATGGCTGCAGTGCATCATGCTGTCCTGGCGCAGTTTTGATGCATGCGGGCGGGCATGCGGGCATGCGAGCGAGCGAGCGAGCGAGCGAGTGAGTGAGTGAGTGAGTGTGCGTGTTTGCGCCTGCCTGCCTGCCTGCCTGCCTGCCTGCCTGCCTGCCTGCCTGCCTGCCTGCCTTTCTGCCTGCCTGCTTTTTTGACGACTGTCCGTCCGTTTGTGTGTCTGTTTGTTCTGTGTGTGTGTGTGTGTGCTGTCTTGTCCTGTCCTGTCTGCCTGTTTGCCAGTGCTGTGTTTGCGTGGCGGCAGTGTTCTTGCATCCTGCCACGCCGCAGGGGCTTCAGGCACTGGCAAAGCGCGTGCAGGAGCACCATGATTATTTGGTGAAGGCGTGGCTTGCAATGTCGACTACAGCCTTGGTATCAACTCTGCGCTGTGCTTTGGGCTGTGAGATCAGAGTGCAGGGCTGGCATGGGAGGGTTGTTTGCTTCTAGCGCTCTGCAGGTGCAGCCGGGCCAAGGCCGTGAGGGAGGGGCGCTTTTGTCAGCGAGAAGATAAGCTGCCGACCAAACACTATAAGTATAGGAAGCGCTTGCTTGGCTTGTGGGACTTGTCTTACATGGATGCCTTAGAGAGTGTGGGTTCTGCAGGGACCCGAATGTATGGCACTCTTTGATCACTCGAAGCGGGAACGAGTCAGCAACCTTACAACTGCTGCTGTTGTGCAGGACGGGAGTCTTGGAGAAATGCGGTTGCCTCAGCCTGCACTTTACACGAGATACTAGAATGCTTTGTTTGCATTGGTTAGCAGGTCTCAATGTTGCTTCCAAGCTGTAACCTGTAGACTGTAGACGTTAATAAACATGCTACGCAACTGTTTCAAACACTCCGATCATCGTTCAAGTGTTGTCCTTATTCTCATGATGGAACTGTTGAGCCTGAACTCAGGACCGTTCTTCAGGCCACTCTCACGAGCAGGACCAACTTCGCTGCTCGCTATTGGAGATAATGCTTGCCTGTTTACATTTTATCGAGGCAATGTATGGAGAAAGCAATAATTATGTTTGGGTTGCATGTAAGGCGTGGACGGATTCGTTTTCTGTCCTGTACTAGTCTGCAAGCACATGACATGGGTGTCTGGAGCATTTCCTTTGCACATGTTCTTGGCCATATTTTTCGCTGGCCGCATTTTGGCCAACTTTAACTTACTTCCTGCACCGTGCTTGTCTCCTGGGGACACAATCCGCTTTGGGTGCACTTTGCTGGTCAGTGGCCGGTAGAGGTGCTTTCTACAGCGAGTTGAGCTTTCTTCCCGCTTGGCTGTCGAGTCGAGTTTCATTCTCGATAGCTGTTGTCTGCTAAGTTTTGCCACCTGCGGGGTGGATGCTGGGAATGTGCCACCGGTGTCGTTCAACAAAGCAACCATCATGTTGCACAAACACGCAAAGTCCAAACGCAGCAAAAGCAGGGTTTCTTATCACCTCCAAATTGGCTTTCAAGGAGGGGGGGGGAAAACCCAGCCCGCTAGAAACTTCTAAACGCACACTTTGGGCATCGCCATATCAGCGTCAGATTCTAGGATGAAATTTATTAGTAACACTCCAGGGTATCACTGCTGGAAGCTTCGCGCCGACATTACATGCTTGCCTTTTGCGACATGTTCCTTTGAAAAAGAGGGCAACTCCAATATCGAGATTGCAGTGCCGTGTGCGTGCCGTCATTTGGATGGAACTGTCCAATCCAACTTGTCTGACCTTGGCCCTTTCAAAACGGAACGTATGACATTTCCTTTTGTGCCATGTGAGTTGTGACATTTGGAGCTTGCGGCTAATGCTTTCGCTGGCATCTCTTTTGAGCAGACCCAAAACTGCAGTGTGGTTGTGCAGCTTTGTTGCTTTGCACGCCGGACCCACTCCGTCACACGCCTACGCGCATGCGGCTTTCTCGACATGTTCTTCCAGTTTTGTTTTTTTGGGGCCACTCCACTAAGGAAATTGTATTCCTGTTTGTGATGCGGCTTGTTGTTCGTAGCCCAATGTCTTGCCCATTTTTTTGCTTTTACATTGAAACGGACTCACAACTGCGAGAGACTTCTCAGAGTTGGTTTGTCAAAACGGACCCCTGTTTGTGCATTTGCAAAAAACGTGGGACGCCACCAATCATTTGGAGGGCTCTTTCAAAAACACTAGATCAAAACACTGTACACGTGGAGCTTTGGTTTTGCCCAGATCGATGTTCTCTTTTGAGCTCCAGAACGCTGGCAGTCGTGTGACCTCAAAAAGGCTTGAACCACTTTGTTTTGGCATGCAAATGCTGCTGCCGCATCAACGAAACCACAGCTTTGACATCAATCGTGGGCTGGTGAAATTCGGGCGGCTTGTTTGTGCTTTCACCTATGTTGCCGCTTGCCCACAGATGCAAAGCACTGCTCAAGCCAATGAGACATTGTGTCAACGTAGCTGAGAACGGTATGGGGAAGCGTGTGATGGCTGTGGTTCACTGCCCTGAATGTCCTGATGCAAGGAAACCCGGAAACCCTTTTTTAACCGCTTGCTTCTTCAGGATACGGGTCTGCCGCCTCCATTGCCGTTGTGCGCTTCCGTCTCCAGATCTTCGAAGGTGAGTTATTGTGCTTTGACTCAGATCTTCCCTGCCGCCTCTCAGGGTGTGTCTTGATGAGCACTTTCAGGGGCATGCCTCTCAGGTGCTCCAGATGCCGATAGTGATAGATCAAACCCGTGGCAGACTCAGGGTAGCTTTCAAACCGTTGGCACTGTAAGCTTCTTCACAGGCAACACTTGTGTTGGTACAACATGATAGATGATGCTGATCACGACATGACTTTTCGTTGCGCACTGTCTTAACCTGCTTCACAGCTTGTACAGGCAGCAGGTGCAGTTGGATGTTGGGCCCTGAGATGCTTTCTGAGATGTGCCAGTTTGACTGAGACAAGCCAAAGTCGCAATGCCGTTTTGATGCAAGGGCCGCCCAGAGCAGGGCAGCTCAGGGTTGAAGCCAGCACCTTTGCCGTTGAGGCAGGACCAAGGTTGGAATAGTCTAGGGGCAGGCAGCTGGCAGGCCGCAGTGTGCAATCCGTGTACAGCTGAAATTTGTTTGAATGATTGTTCGACTCCGAAAGCCGCGTTGCACTTGTTCGTTTTACAAGTGCTCAGCCACATCGTGCCGCCACAAATCTGCCAGGATTCCTGGCATCGTGAGCCATGAGGAACCTCCAGAGGCGAATTGCAGAGCTGGTCGCAAGGGTAAATAGTTGACGTAAGGCTTAAAAGATTTGTCCCCCAAATGCGCAGCTTCGACCGAAGCCGCCAGGTTGCGATGAATGGTTACAGCAACTTGGCGGAAGCTGATCCACAGGGGCAACGACATTGGATTTGAAGGACATGCCTTGGCTGATTCAAGTCCCGCGGCACCGAAACTCAGGTGATTTGGAAGGCGGAGACGTGATGGCAATGAGACTCTTGCTGCTTGCTAAACGCAGAACTTTGGAGCTCGCAGACATTTCTGCCTCACTTGCGGATGCAGAATGTGCAGCGAAGATCCATACATGCATGACAAAAGGCAGGCAACTTGTGCCTCACCCAGCAATTGCCGTGAATCAGCTTCTTTGACTATTGCCCCTTTTGCAATTGGAAGAAGCACTCATCATGCATTTGGTCAGCAAACTCGACAGGCAACACCTTACGCGGACATTTGCCCTAGTCAGCACTTTTCAAGAAGTGTCAATGCTCCGTGGCTCTGGCTACACGCCCCTCGCATCACCTATGGCTCTTCTAGCAGCTCCAAAGCAGCGAATTGAACTGGCTGGTATCAAGCAGTGGTGGGGCTCCGAAATCTCGGAGATCGCGGTGGATGCTTCATGGCAGCAAGCCTATAGTTTTGTTGGCTCACGCTTCCAGGGACGTTTCTTCTCCAGCCGATTGGAGCACCCTGACCCGCAGTGAGCAAACCTCGAAGTTGCTAAGCCGCTTTGCTTTGCAACACACGCACACACACACACACACATGACTCAAAAACTGAAGCATTGGGATGCTGCCACTTGGCTGTGAGCTGGGTGAGGTTGCCAACGTCGAGGAATGTGCTCGAGAGAGACTAGGAGTTCCAGGCTGCTGTGACAATGTTGCTGGCCTGCTGTGCAGATGTGGAACCTGCTGCATTCTGGGAGTGTCGCGGCTTGAGCTGCTCATGGACCAAACAGCCACCAACCTGAAACCTTCCATCAAAGTGAGCCTTCACTTTGGCATCAGAGTTCCGCCAAGTGTGAATAGCAGCCTACCAAGTAATCTGTTCTCCAAGCCTACAAATGCATGCTGTATCGCTGTAGGCTGCAAGAGCGAACATATTGCAGCCATTTGAACGTGTCAGCATCAGCCGTGCAACTGTGTGCTGTTTGGACGTTCGAACACTGGGGCAGAGGCAGGAGTCCAGATTTCAAGGATCCATTTCAACCTGAAAGCAACACACTCTTCGTTGAGCCCCACGGAGGAAAGCCAAAAAGGTCAACGAGCCATTCACTCATGCAGGCTATCATGGCTCAACGAGTGCATGATGCATGTATATTCAGGTCCGTCAACATGTTCAGTCGCGTATGTATGTACCACAACAGCCAACGGGGCAGCATGTCTTCTGCGTCTTGTCGCTGCTTTTGAACATGTTTGCCTTCTCAGGTAGTTGTTCCTTTGGCCCTTCTGTTCAGCAGCGGTGCGTTGAAGAACAGCATCTACCAAGAAGTCTTCGTCATCACCGGAGTAGTGCTCATTGTTCTGGCGCTATGCTTCTGCTGCTGCAACATTCGTCGCACCTGTTGTGAAGGCATTTTCAATCTACCAGAGCCTGCACCGCTAATTCCTCCATTGTCAAGGAAAGTGCAAAAGATTGTGGACGTGAAACGAGTCTTGCTCGTCTACAACCCCAATGCGGGGAAGAGGCAGGCAGAGCCCATCCTGCAACGTGTGGTGTTGCCAGGCCTTCGACAGCGTGGCATTGAGTGCGAGGTGATTGCTACAGAAAGAGTCGGGCATGCGAGGGACATTGGCATGACGGCCGACTTAGCTGGGTACCAGGCCGCTGTTACCCTGGGTGGTGATGGCACTTACCATGAGTTGGTCAACGGCATCCTTGCGAGGAAGGATAGCCAACGCTTGCCGGTAAGCTTGATCCCATTGGGCTCAGGAAATGGCTTGGCTGCGACACTTCGGCAGAACATGAAGAGACGAGGCGAGGAGATCTCTGTGTGGACAGAGATGGATGCTGTGCTCCAGTGGTCCTTGGATCGCATCTCTGGGGGCCGTGTTGCTGCCGTCGATCTGCTTGAAGTGGAGGTCATGAATCGGCGCCTGGCTGCCGTGATGCAGGTTTACGTAGGCCTGATGGCCGAGGTGGATGTCGTCGCAGAGCCACTGCGGTGGATGGGCCCTGCGCGCTTTGATGTTGCCTCAGTTTGGATGATTCTGCGGAAGCAAGGACAGATCCTGGACTGCAAGCTCACTTTTGCGGATGGCACGACTCATTCCTGCAGCAGGTCCTGCATCGGTGGGAGCATTGGCCTTTGCCAGCACTTCGATGACAAACTGCGATCGGTTCCGCAGGCCGCGCGATCTGCTCTGCAAACAGGGTTGCAATTGAACCGCCACCAGAGAATGTTTGTGGAGTCTTTGGCACTTGTTTACTTGTGCTGGCACGCGGGTATGGGTGGATCGGGTTCTATTCATGTTAACGAGATGTGCTTGAGGCGCAACTTGACGACGGCCTTGCCGAGTTCTCAACCATTTCCACAGATGCTAGCGTTGATGAACTCCTGGCCGGGTTCCTGAAACTGGCTCACGGTGCGCACACGAATGACAAGGACACGGCTCCGTGAGAATCACAGCATGATGCAAGTGGAGCATGCTTGTGATTCAGCGAAAGCTCTTGTCCATTCAATGCAGTTGTTTTCTTTCGAGACTTGCAGTCTTGCACTTCTAGGGTGTCGTTTCATTTGCGGTTCTGCACAAAAACCGCCCCCTGCTCGCTTTCCCAAAAAAACCCTCCTGGTTTCAATCAGGCAACGAGTGCTAAGACCCTTCTCCCCTCGCCGCTTCGCTCAAATCGACCGCGAGGTCCTGTGGAACTCCAAGCAGGTCACGGCGCTGGAGCTGGTGTTCGAGCGGCCGGGGCTCTTCAACGTGGATGGGGAGGTGCTGGAGCACGACGGGTCCCTGCGCCTGCGGGTGCTGCCGGGGGCCGTGGAGATGCTGGCAGGGGCATTGGAAAGTGGAAAACGAATCAAGATTTGAAGCCCTTTTCTTGGATGCTCTTTGAGTTTTGTTTGGAAACAGGCGGACCAGAGAAGCGGTTTTTCGAGGAGGTGATGGGCTGGGATCTGAATCCTTTTCAGCCTGCAACTTGGCAGGTCGGCCAAGAAGAGGCGGAGACGGCCGCGCCAGCTGAGCAATCCGCAGAACCAATCCCTTGGCAAGCTGACAAGCGACGATGGCGCATGCTCGGCCTGTTTGCTTTGGGTTGCATGGCCAACCAGGCAATGTGGATTGGCTTTGCGCCTATAGAAGCAGAAGTGATGCAGCGCTTCGACGTCTCATCCACCTGGGTTAATTTCTTGTCCCTGGCCTTCATGATTGCGCCAAGGCTTCAACTAGCAATCCGGGTTGCGTGCTTGCTCAAGTTGTTTGGGCTGAAGGAAAGGTTTCCTCGTTTGCAGAATGTATAGAATGCAACAAAGTGTAGCGTAGTTTAGTACGCTGTATTTGCTTGATATAGCATTTGATATAGAGTAATATAATCTTATCTAATTTCATATAGTTGAATCTAAACTAATCTAGCGTATGCAGTATGTAATATAATACAATGACACAATGTACATGCAATGCATGTAACATGGGCAATGTATGTCATGTGTATAAGTATGTAATGTATGTCGTGTATGCCGCGCATGTACTGTATCTAATGTATCTAATGTATGTAATTTATGTAATTGGTGTACTCTATGTGATTTATATAATTTATGTGATAGGTGGTGAAGCATACAATCCATGTAATGTATGTAATGTAGTAATTCATGCCATGGATGCGACATATGTAGTGTATGTGGTGTAATGTAGAGAAATTCAATGTAATGTAATGTAATTTTTCTACGTATGTATGTACATACGTACGTGTCTGTGTGTGTATGTAATGTAATGTAATGTAATGCAATGTAATGCAATGCAATGCAATGCAATGCAATGCAATGCAATGCAATGCAGTGCAGTGCAATGCAATGCAATGCAATGCAATGCAATGCAATGCAATGCAATGCAATGCTGTTTGTCCCATCGTTTGTTTGTTTGTTTGTTTGTTTTTGTTGTTTGTTTGTTTGTTTGTTTGTTTGTTTGTTTATGTATGTATGTATTTATTTAATTATGTATGTATTTACTTGTTTGATTGTTTGGTTGTTTTGTGTTTGTTTGTGTGTGTGTGCGCGAATGTGTGTCTGTGTTTGAACATGCACGCGTGCGTGATGTTGGAGCTAAGGTGTACTTGCCCGCCAACTTCCCGGCCTCGTATGCTATGGATGTGCTCGGTTGCCGCGTTGACCTCAGTCTAGCAGCCGCTCTCGCGTCGCAATGTGTGCCTGTGTTTCTAGCTTCAGCTTGTTTTCGTTCAGCTCTGCCCGAGACATTGTGTTGGTTATTAATTATGAGGTTGGCGTGCGAGGCTATAACGGCAGGCACCAGATTCTCCCCGTTGCGGTTGCCTCCTTGTTGAACAGTTTTCTCCAGATTCTTGATTTTAGCAGCGTTCATCTCTCCCCTTCGTTTCAGCGCTGAGACTCGTTTGCTGTGGCGGAAGACATGGTCAACCGTCACAGTGAGTCCAGTTCGCCAATTTGGCACGTGTTTTGTTGCGGGGGGGGGGGGAGGGGGCGCGAAGCCATGAGTCGCTTGAGGCCAGTCGCTGCTCATCGGCGGTGGCCTGCAGCTGGCTGGGGCAGTCCTGCGCTGTGTGCGGCCTGTTGGGCCAGGGGCGCAGCAGCTGGCCACGGGGCGACGGAAGGATGGGATTTTGGGGTAGGTGCACCACCCATTTTAGCCTATTTTAGTGGGGATTGGGATGTTCACTGTGGGTACGATTTTGACCCATGGCCAGCTCTTTGGGGGGTTAAAGACTGGCGGCCTTGGGGCCTTTGATGCAGTTGCAGACAAACGACGTGCCAAGGTGATGCTAGGGCAGATTCTGGCCGCGTGTGGCCAACCATTTTTTACGGATATGCCCCCGAAGATTGCCGTGGATTGGTTCCCTGCGTACCAGCGCGTGATTGCAGACACACTTGCATCCCTGTCCATGCCCATCGGTGCGGCCATTGGATTCTTGATGCCTACCACACTGGGCTTGCAGAACATGTTGTACGCGCATTTGGTATGGACTGCCGTGTCACTCCTCCTGATCGCGGTCTTCTTCCAAGCAGTCCCTGACATTCCGCCTGGCCCTTCGTGCCACGGAAGCCACAAGTCCTTCGGGGCGGAGCTGAGGGCTGCGCTTGGGAATGGGAAACTATGGTGTTTGATCGGTTCGTTCGCTTGTGCCCTGGGCTCCTTCAACACCATGAGCACGCTGGCGGCGCAGCTGGTGGGCCCGTTTGGCTTCGACGCAGATGCGGCGTCGGCTTTTGGCGTGGCCACGACCGTGGCAGGTGTGTGTGGGGCAGCGGTGATGTCGGTGGTGGTGGGTTTCACGGGGCACAAGACGGTGCTGGTGACCTGCTGCGTGGCTTGCGTGATCTTCGCAGGTCTCGCGTCGGCCACGGTCTTCTACGTGGGTTCCTCCCCAGGCGGCTTTGAGCTGATGCTTGTGGCATTCGCAGGCATCGGCTTCGCCGCCACCCCCATGATGCCCATCTCCTTTGAGGCTGCCGTTACTGTGGGTCACCCCACCGGTGAGGGCACGCTAGCCGGCCTATGCATGTCGGGGGGCCAGGTGCTGGGCATCATGCAGACGCTGCTTATTGGCGAGCTGTTGCAGAGAAATTTGGCAAAAGTTGCCTGGATACTGACAGGGGGGCTGTTCATTGTTGCATTTGTGGCGCTGCTGCTCTTCAAGCCCAAGAAGGAAGCTTTTCGCGTGGAGGAGCCAGCAGATTCCGATTGCCCCTCATCGAGCACAGCCTGAGTTTGATTTCAAAGGCTACCATAATCGGTTAAACGTTGCATCGAGCTGGTCGCCGTTTGGGCACTAGCTCTAGGCATCAAGAGCGGAGCACGCGTGGCAGCTCGAGAAAAGATTCGGCTGCTTGGTGGCTGCGATTAAATGCTATAGCCTTGGTAGGCGCAGATGAGGAGCAAGAGGCCATGGGCTTTTGGCGAACCTTTGTAGAAAAGCCAGTATCTTGTGTAGGAATATAGTGTGTGAGTGCTTTAGACAGATTTTGGGCATTATGTAGTGTGGGCCCAACTAGCTGAGCAAGGCTGAGCCTGTTGTCGTCAAGCACACCTTCAAGCTTCACGAAGGCTGGCGGTCGCGACCTCAACAGGTTTTCAGGGCGAATCTGCATGCAATTCTTAACTAGCTCAAACTGCCAAGAGAACAAACATCATTTTCAGTCCTTTGCTTTTGGCCAAGCACTGATTGGCCTCAGCCTCCGTGCCCACGTGCCAGCTCGCTGTCAGTATGGTGAAAATCAGAGCGATTCGGAGAAATGCAGCGCAATGTGTTCAAAATCAGCCGCAAGAGCAGGGCATGGCGCAGTCAGAGCAAACGCAACGGAGAGAGGAGGGGGCACGAGCGCCCCTTCAAGACCAAGCAACACGATCCAGCACAATGATGTAAAATATAAGGAAGAAAAGCAAGAAATGTTGCAAGTCCCAAATGCGGACGGCCGCGGAAAGTGAGCCACGCAACAGCGCGTGGCACAAATTTAGCCTTGACGCGGAATACGAGGATCCTCCGCCCCATGTCTCAGCCCCTGTCTGAACTCAGCGCTTGGTTGCCTGAGTCAAGTGCTTTGTGCTGTTGCTCATGCATAAGGTCCGTGCAGGCCTCGGCGCCCCACTTGAAGGCCTCGGGGCTGAGGAGCAGTCAGGCAAGAACAATGCAAGGATCCAAGGGCAAGGCTTGCTGGCCGAGATGGCAACTTTTTCGGACTAGTTGGAGCTTGGCCTCAGAACAACAAGCTAAGTCAGTCCTTGCAGCCTTGCGTTGTGGAACCCTTGCTCGCATGATGTGCAGGAAGCCCAGGCTGCTGTGGCTTCGGCCTGGTTTCAGGTGGACGCAACCGAGTCTGATGATGAAGGCCGTGATACGCGGTTTTGTAAATTTTACAAATGTGGTGTTTGCAGCTACCTTGCGACATGCGTTTGGGCAAAGCTTGCACGTACTTGGGGCAAAGCTTGAACCTGCTTGTGCATGCCTTTGTTGTGAAGGTTCGGACTCCGAGAGTTCAGACAGCTGCTTGGCTGCAGCCCAGAAGCCGTTTGCAGTTCCTGAGAAGCTTCATGAACGCACTCACCTCTTGCCAACCAAAAAGCACTCGCAGGTAAAGACACACACACACACACACACGCACGCACGCACGCGCGGGCACAGGTACAGGCACAGGCGCACGCCCAGGCACAGCACACGCGCAAGCACAGGCACACGCGCAGGCACAGGCACAGGCACAGGCACTGGCACACGCAGACGCACAGGCACACGCAGAGGCTAGCACACGCACAGGCACCTGCGCGCGCACTTGTGCCCGCGTCCGGCCCGCGCCCGCACCCGCTCACGGGCACGTGAACGTGCACGCACACGTTCACACGGACGCGCACGCTCCCACGCGCACGCTCCCACGCGCACGCTCCCCACGCGCACGCGCACGTGCACACGCGTGCACGCACGCACGCACGTACGCTTGCACGCACACACGAACGCACGCACGTCCGCCTGCCCCGCACGCACGCACGCACCCACCCACCCACCCACCCACCCACGCACGCACGCACGCATGCACGCACGCACGCACGGACGGACGGACGCACGCACGCACGCATGCACCCACACACACACACACAGTCGCACAGTCACACAGTCACACAGTCACTCAGTCACGCATATAGGATGCACACGCATGCCACAGGCGAAGTCAGTCAGAATCCAGCGCTGGCCGAAAGGCCTGGTGCCACACAGCCACAGCAGCGTGCAAGTTTGTCGACGCAGGTGCGGCAGACGGTTCCAGACTTGCCTCGAGCCGTGGATGATCTCTCCAAACAGCGTTTTCCGCTCCTGCGGGCTCCTTGTAGCCTGTAGCATCAGCAGATCACTCGCATCCTCGTGCTCCAGAGCCGCGATGCTAGCAGTACATGTCTGGGACTGCAGAGATTCCCATCCCCAGCCAGTCCCAAGCTCATGCAATTTGAACCCTTGAACTAGGACTAACACATGCAACACATTCACCGCAATACGGACTTGTGCTGAGGCTGGGACTCGCTGGCCTGCTTGTTCGTTGTGTACGAATGTGTTGCCGGGGCCCAAGGGCTGGTTTCTTGCAGGCACGACCGCATCGCGGGTTCTGATATGGAGCGATGCCTGAATGGCTCTTTTTTGTTTGTAGGGCCTGCTGGCAGGATGTGCCAGTTTCTTTACCACTCTTTTGGTGTTGATTTGATCATCACAGAACAGATACGTACGCCCAGTCCACTGGCATCGGTGTTCCGGACGCATAATATGATAATATCTAAATCCTCTCGGACGCCAAAAGTCCAGTTTTTCCAGGACCTAGAATGCGGCAGAGTAACTGTCATGACCTAGCTGAGCATGGCACACGGCATGAAGCACTGTGCCAATATTTTAGTGCTGTTGCCAGCGAGGCTGCAGGTATGCCTAAAGGTACCAGGGCAGTTCATCAGCAATACAAGATAGAGTCCAGAAAGGTGTGAGCCCAACGGAAGATTTGGACAAAGGTAAGGCCATGGGCGAGTCAATGGCAGCCTTCTGATGCAAACCACATTTCAGCAAAGCAGGCAGTATCATGTTTTCGTGATAGGAAGCTACTTGCTTTCACCATCGACTCCCATACAATTCCTTTGTACATTTGTCAATTCTGCGGCGCATTGGGGAGATGCTTGTACGATACTTGTTGTTGATTAAAGGGAACTATCGGCACTCAGCTTTTGGCACCCAGATGATTCCCTTGGCCTTCTTTGACTTCGGCGAATCCGCTGTGCTAGATGTCATTGGCTGGGTTGTCCTGGCCTTAGAGTCAAGCCAGCTGAAAGATTCTCACAGGTCTGAAGTGTGGGGCTTAGGTGCGTCTTTTCTGGTCTATGGACTTCCCTCTCTCTTGCTTGACCGGCTATGCACTGGCGGGCGATATGCTGGAGATGCGGCCTTCGAAGGCTATCTCAACTGGGCATCGGCAATATGAGGCCCGGCGGTTTCCTCTTGCAGGTGCTTCCGCACTACGCGAAGACTTGGATGTCACTAGTTGCGCGCTTAGCTGGTTGGCCAGCAACAAGCCAGAAGCTTTGCACAGCCCACGCATTCCAGCTTTCTTGCGGAGGGCCATTTGGATTCCCGAGGATGTATCCATGCTTGCAGTTGACTGGGCTGAAGTCCGAAGCTGAGAGTGGGGCATAGCCGGCATAGCCTCACTTCTTTTGGTACTTGCTATGCCTCCCTCAGGATTGAGTTGTTATATCTTGTTTTAAAGCAACACCGGCTTCCAGGTTGCCATTGGCGGCGTCGGCAGTTTGAATGCTGCTCGAATGGGCAAGACAGCGGGGAGCCTGGAAAGACATGCTTTTGACTTTGCGGTCAGAGAGTTGAGAGCCAACGCATGAGCAGCGTCCAAAACTCCCCATTTCAGAAGGAGGTTCTACTACCAGGTGTAACAAGGATTATAGTGGTGCCTGCGTAAACCTGTACAGTAGTTTTGTATAAACCTCATTGGTAGAACCAAACGTCAATGGGTTTGGGCGCTGCTCTAATATGTTTTGTGTTTATTCTAAATCACTGCATTTCGAAGCTTTTTCCCAAGCAACTTCGGACCAACCCCAAGCAAAACCCTGCACCGAGCAGCAGGACCTGCAGCCCGAAGCCATGCCCACACCAAACCAAAACCTTCGCGGGCAGGGGGACACTGACTTCAAGCTGACCCTCAACAAGCAGGACACCTTGAAACAGCTCAACCAGCCACAAACCAACCCTTCTCAAACCAGGATCCAACACTACAACATACTCTACACTCAACGTGAAGGCCCATGCAATCGTACAAGACCGTTGGGCCAAGAAACCAATCAGTTTTCCTACAAATGACACAGTTTCTGGCCCTGGGTTTTCGACACGCATATGATTTACACAAGTTGCCTCGTTTTGGACCCCCCTCGCGTCGGGTTGATAGGGACACCTTGAGAGCGCGCTTTTGCGCTCTCCGTCAATCCAAGGTCAAAAGCTTGCGGATGATACGGATGATGCGGCTTTGGCAGCAGCCCTAAGGCACTGAGATTGATTTCCAGAGCTCACAGTTTGGAGCGATGGCCCCTTGAATGTTTGAGTCTTGGCCTTGAGGCGCTTGCTGAATGTCAGTCAGATGCCTGAGTTTGTCAGAGTGCTGATTCACCACTACTTCCAGTCGGAGGCCTTTCTTGCGCATCTTTTTGACACTGCCATCTCATCATTATTGTAGTGGTTCTCCTCATGTTTAAGACCACTCCGTTGTGACACCGGCGGAGTATCTGGACAAACCCAAAGTCGTCGTGATCTACAAAATCCATTGGATGATGCTTTTGTGGCAAGCACGATTTGGGATGTAGCTGCCATTGGCTTTTGCACCCTTGGTAAGAAAGCTTACTGTGCACCCCTTGCACCCATTTGCCTTTTGCACCCCCGAGAGGGTTGGCAGAGTACAAAGCTTCGTCCCAACCATGACTGTGATGAGCCAGGTGAGCCGCATTCTGCTCGACATTTTCAAAATTCTGGTATTTCTGGTTTGGATCAACCACGCTGGGGGCTGCAGACCTGCTTGGCCAATGACCACTTGCCGACTGCGCTTTGAAACTTCCTGACATGCTTATACAACTGAGGTGCTGGCCTGCTGCTGGCCAGCCCTGCCATGTTTGATGCAAGTGCCTGAAGCATCGTCGCCAAACACATGCGTACGTGTTGCCAGAGAGCGTGCTTGTTAAAAGTGCTGCGTTGCATGGTTTTGTAGCAGGTACGGCGTTGCAGATTCTCTGGAAGCAAGCGACCACAGCTGGATTCGCGAAGCACGCTTCCAGTCTTCGTTCGCCTCCCAGAAGAGTGCGTCAACCAAAGGACTTCTCAGATCTTACCATGCTGAACGTCATGTCATGCTGGAATCACAAATCCACTCCGTGATGGCTGGCTCGCTCGTGCAAAGAGTCTGGCGTGCCGAGAATGATCATTCACTTGTACGTCACCTGCTTTCATTGGAGCTTGACTCAATTTGTGGCGTGCTCAGAGAGTTTTGCTTCAGAGCATCCTGCTTGTTTTTGGTTTCAGGAAGCTAGTTTGGAAGCTTTCTTGCACAGCTGCACTTTGAACGGCCATGCAGCAGCGGGCGGTTTGTGTTTCAGGCAGGATCCACCGATGTGTTTCCTTCAAATGTGCCGGGAGCCAAGTGAAGGTTGCATTCGCCATGCTACTTGCACACGACCTTCTGTCAAACTTGTCCGGAGTGTTTCTGCTATCCATACGCTTTTCTGGTCTCAGCGGACCTTCGCAGTTTTTGCTTTGCTCTTCTGCTTTATCCTCTAACGACCTTCTGTCAAACTTGTCCGGAGTGTTTCTGTTATCCATACGCTTTCTGGTCTCAGGTATGAGCGGACCTTCGCAGTTTTCGCTTTGCTCTTCTGCTTTATCCTCTCAGCGCCACGCCCTCAAAAGGCCGAGATTTTCGCGACTCAGCTTCTCTTTTTGTCAGCAACTTTATTAATGCTGCACCAGGGACGCTGGTACCGGGCTATGCAACAGCTTCCCAGGTGTCATGGCACACTGTGCCTACTTGAGGAAGGCAACATTCCATTCAAGGAAAGCAGGAGCAAGGTGAACATGCTTCCCCTATCTGAAGGTTTGCCTTGCCGAGTTGAAGTATTTTTTGACAGCACCGACTTAGCGCACCAGTGCGGCGCTGGCTGATTTTTGGGGAGCGGAACAGCTCTGCTTATCGAGTACAGTGTGATACGAAAGAAACGCCGCAGGTCAATTGTGAGTAGCATCACCACTTCGATGACGCGGCTGTCGATTGCCAGATCCAAGGCGCGCGCAGGTTGCCAAATTGCCAACTCGTGAAGTCCAAGTGCTGACTCCTTTCCAAAGGACAGAAAAGGCTTGTGAAAGATTCTGGGTTTGGCAGGAGACCACCAAGTTGACTGCCCTCAAGGACTTGCCTTCGAGCGCAAAGCCCAACAATGCAGCCCAACATTGCAGCCCAACATTGCAGCGGCTTTGCTTTCGGTTGGTGCAGGAGTACTTGAGGGAGAACCACATCTCCAGTCGCAGCTTGACAGCGCAAGTTGCAGTACCTGAACTGCCGATGCCACTTGTTTTCTCAAAACCTACTCTTGCCATTTCGCTGCGCCTCGAAAGAGCCTTCAGGCACTGCCCTGCGGGCCTGAGACCCAGAGCATCGGAGCATCGGCTGGCCGGGCGAGTCAGCGAGCCTGGCAGGTGCAGCGCAACGCGCAATACGCCATCGAGGAGCAGAAGAGGCAACGTGTTGCTCGTGTTTGGTTCAACGAGTAGGTAGGCCGGCATTTGACCCAACGGAAGGGTGTGAAAGGATGCAGCTTCGAGGCTCAGATGTTTCCTGCAGGCACACGCCCGAAGAGGACATCGAGCTTCTGGGCTACCTTTCAGAACCATTGCGGGTG